CGGCTTGGTGACTGTGACACCTCTGAGGGGCTAGGTGACTGCTTGTTGGCTGGGCGTGACTGGCGCCCCTTCTTCTTGTGCTTGCGGAGCGGGGTCTGCTGCGGGGGTGGCGGATTGTCGTGATCATAGTGGTACAGGTGGTACTCAATACCACTGTAACTCTTGTAGACCTTGCGGCAGGTCTCTATGGGGCACTCGTATGGTGGCTTAGTTGCCCGCAAGTTGTGGCAGAAAGTCTTCACGTCAAAGTCCACCCCCATGCTGTCACATCTAGAATACACAGATCAGTTAGCACAGGCCCAGGGAAGAGTTCCTGGCCACATGTATCAGAGACCCCACTCTCTCCCCGTCCTCTCTCCCCAGGGGTCACCAGGTCCCGGCCAGCCCACCTCGACAGTGTCTCCAAGTGCCATCTCCTCCACCGAGGCCCTAATCTGGGCCCTCATCACCTCTTGCCTGGTCACCCTGCCTGATGTCTCAACTCCTCTAGCCCAATCTTACATATGTGGCCAGAATGGTCTTTCTACCCAGTAGCAATTATCAGGCCAGTCTCTTGACTAAAAGCCTCCTGATGCTCCCGTTTCTTCAGGATATTATCCAAGTTGTCTATGGTAACATTCAAGGAGCTCCTTTCTAGATTCTTTTTACCAGGTACAGCTGTTTCTGTCTACACATGGCAACTTGCCATTCCCTGAATATTTTAACCTCTCATTCCTACAAAATGATCTCTATTTGGAATGCCCTCCATCCTCTCTGACTGGCAAGCTTCTACTCATTTTTCAAAACCCAGTTCAAATGTCACTTCTGTTATTATTTCTTTGATTCTGCAGTGGGAAGCTCTGTTTCCACAGTGTTCCATTCTCACCTCCACCACAGTACTTGCCACATTCAAAGTTCTTTTTCTCCTCCCACTAGACTGGGAGTTGTGCAGTGCAAACAACAAAGCCTGTCCACCTCTATATCCCCTGTACCTAGCATGCACTGGACACTTAGTTTTTGGCAGATGAATGAAGAGCTGAATGAGGGGATCACCAAATTTGGAGCTGAGAGAGAGGGGATGAAGACTAGTTTTACCTCATGTAGAAGTCTGAATGATGGCCAATGATTTAGTTCTGGCAATTACTGGATTACAGAAACAATTAGTTTATTTCTGAGGTCTTTATAGGGAGGCTCACACTGGCCCAGGGACTGGATAGGGAGATGTATTGTAGAGCCAAGTGAAAACCGAGGTCATTTAGTCAGTGATATCAGTAGGTATTACATTTGAGCTCCTTATTCACCCATTCATGAAACATCAATTGAAGGCCTACCAAGTGCCAGGCCCCAAGGATACAAACAGGAACATGACAATCTAAGAATGCTCAGCTCCATGCTGGTCCTCGGGGGCTCTCCCTTCCCCCTCTCCAGTGTTCCTGGAGACAGCAGATGGCACCAGCCCCCAGGAATTCAAGCTTGGTCAGAAACTGTCCCAATTTCTCGGCCTGCTTGAGTTCAACAATTCAGCTGGGGGCTTGGCAAACCCCAGCTAGGCATAGCCAGCCACCCTGAGCTCCCTGACAGTGACCCCTCTGGCCCCTCTCCTCCTGTGCTTAACCAGGAAAGTGGACTGCTCCAGCTCCTCTCTCAACAGCCCCTGACTTTCACATCAATAAATTTACACGTTCAATTCCAACCAGCTTCTAGTTCCCACCTACAGCTGTGTCTTTAAACACAAACCAACCAGAGGTACAAACAAACTCTCCTCTTTCCAAGCTGGGTCCCAGCTGAACGCGGCGGCTCTGTTGCCCTAGCTTCAGAAGTAGCACAGCTCACCCAGAATGTCCCGTTGGGACCCGGCGGCAGAGGCACAGGCGAGGGAGAGCTTAGACCTCAAAGCCCGCGGGGACGGCCTGGGGCCCAGGGGTATGGCGGCTGGAGGAAGTAGGGGGCGGAGGCCAGAGGGACAGGGCCCGGCCCCGGCGGAGCCCGCAGCCCTCTCTCCCGGATGCGGCCGCATTTCCCCTTTGTCGAAGTGTAACAAGTTAAACAAGGCTCTCCTCCTGCCATTGGCCCAGGCAGCCCCCAAGGATACACTGTTGCCCGGGGATGCGGGCTGGGAGAGAATGCACTGTCAGTTCTCTCAGCTGGAGTAGCCCAAGAGGTCCCCGGGCCAGACGGCTCAGTGCGCGCCCAGCAAAAGTAGCCTCACCCTTCCCCACCGGCCACTCCCGCCCCGGTCCCGGGCCCGCACTCACCGGCCACCTCGAGTCCGGGCTCATCGCCGAGCGCGCCCGCCGGGGCTCCAACCCCCGCTTGGGGAGGCCGGCGGGGAAAGTCGGGCCGGGAAGGGGTAGCCCCAACTCCGGAGACCGTGGACCTCGCCACCCCGGCCCCCTGCAGCCACACACTCTGGCCCCAGCTGCCCGGGATTCCCGCGCTGACCCCTGCTGCTCCCGGTCCGCCGGCGCCCCGGTGTTTCAACTCCGCCGGCCGCCGCCCGTTTCGCAAGCCCCTGGGTTGCCGGAGCTCGGGACCCGGCGCCGCTGGAACAATGGAAGCTCCCGGCGGCAGCGCGGGGACAGCGACGGCAGGGACCGTGGCGGCAAAGGCAGTGGCAGCGGCGGCGGCAGCGGCGGCGGCGGCGACGGCGTCTGCGCAGGGTAAACGCGGCGCCGCGGCGCTGCCGAGCTGCACTTTCGTCACGGGTCCCGGACCGCCCGCTGAGGTCCGAGAGGCCGTGCTCTGGGGCTCGGAACGGGCCCCAAGACACCGCACAGGGCTCCTCGAGCGCCTCCATCTTAGAGCTGAGCTTCTGGAGACCGAAGTCGCTGCGCTCGGGATCCGGGGTCGTTGAGCCGTTTGTGGCGAATCTGCGGCCGCAGACGGTGCGCGCGGGGCTGGGCGTGAGGAGCCCGCCCTTCTCCCCTCCCCCTCCACCGCCTCCTTCCCTGCTCCCTCCCTCTGGCTGGCGCCGCGGCTGCGCTCCGGACTTGCCTCGGGCCTCCAAGGAGGGCGGCGAGGCGGGGCCAGAGCTGCGGGGCGGGGCCGGGGCGGGGCCGGAGCCGCGGGGACGTGGCCTGGCGCTGTGGGCGGGGCTTGCCGGAAGGGGCGGGGCCCAGTCCGGAGAGTAGCGGAGTAGAGTGCAGCTAAACGGAGGAGTGAGCCTCAAGAAACAGGGCGGAGTTTGGGGTGGGCCCGGACGGTGGAGCTGGCCTGGGAATAAAGGACCGAGCTGAGAACAAACGACGCGAGGCTGAAGGGAAGGGCGGGCCTTGGGAAAGGCAAAGGGGCGGGGCTACAGCGGAAAAGGCGGGCCGGTGAGGGATAATTGGGCGTGACCAAGGGAAGGAGCTCGGGAAGGTGCAGGGGAGGGGCTGGAGGGAACCTGTGGATCTGCAGGAAGGGCCGGGTTTGAGGTCGTGCAGGGGGCTTGTGGGTGTGTATGGTAAAGTGGGGTTCAGGTGCCGGGAATGCTGTCGGTTGGCAGGGAGACGCTGCATGGCTACAAGTTGCTGGTTGGAAGGTTTCAAAACATGAATAGCTGATTTATTGTGACTGAGCCACTTCCTAGCAATGTGAACATGGGCAAGTTGTTAAATTTTTCCTCGAGTTCCTCATCTTAAAACGGAGCTCGAAAACTCTATAGTTCTTGGGGGCTTCGGGGAACTTGGATGCTAAGGAGACATCCTTGTTAAACAATGCTTTGTCATGAAAGAGGAGCATGAAAGGGTCTACCAGGATTTTGAGGCAAAGCCCAAAGCATCCGAAAGCTTCTATTTTATCTTAATGCAAACTTTGCCTTTGACCCCCCTAAAATGTATGTTGTCATACATGGTGTTTTCCAAAAAGCATCCCAGTAAATTTGACACTCCAGGAAGACATTTGCTGGTTAAGATCTTGGGATCTGAAGTCAAACTAATGAGTTCTCATAAAGAAGTGACTTATCCTCTCGGAACCTCAGTTTCCTCATGTTTAAAATGGTAATAATATATAGTACCTACTCTCACAGGTCTGTTATGAGAATTAAATGAGATGGTGCTTGTAAATCACCTAGCACAGTGTTTGCTATGTAGTGAATGTGAAAAGAAAATATTAGCTGTTGTTATCCTCTTTAATCAAAAATTTCACAATAGGTGGGCAAGGTGGCTCATGCCTATAAGGCTAGCACTCTGGGAGGCCGAGGCAGGCGCATTGCTCGAGTTCAGGAGTTCGAAACCAGCCTGAGCAAGAGCAAGACCCTGTCTCTACTATAAATAGAAAGAAATTAATTGGCCAACTAATATATATAGAAAAAAATTAGCCGGGCATGGTGGCGCATGCTTGTAGTCCCAGCTACTCGGGAGGCTGAGGCAGCAGGATTGCTTGAGCCCAGGAGTTTGAGGTTGCTGTGAGCTAGGCTGACGCCACAACACTCACTCTAGCCTGGGCAACAAAGCAAGACTCTCTCTCAAAAATAAATAAATAAATATTTAAAAAAATAGAAAGAAATTAGCTGGACAACTAAAAAATATATATATATATGTATAAAATTAGCCAGGCATGGTAATGCACACCTGTAGTCCCAGCTACTCGGGAGGCTGAGGCAGAAGGATTGCTTGAGCCCAGGTATTTGAGGTTGCTGTGAGCTAGGCTGATGCCAATGGCACTCTAGCCTGGGCAACAGAGTGAGACTCTGTCTCAAAATAAAGAAAAAGAAAAAGAAAAAAAATTTCACAATAAATAGATCAAAGCCGAGTTATACAGAATCATCTTAAAGCCAACCCCTTTAGAGATCAGGAACCTGTTTGAGAATCTGATGAAAGCTATGGGCCTCTCTCCTGAGAAAAAAACATACATACATACACACACACACACATTTCACTTATTTCTTGAAGTGTTTGAAGAATGTATAAAGAAGTGATTGGATGAATGTGCGTTAGGGTAGGGATGAGCTCAGGCCATTCTTGCTCCCTCCCTCTTGGTGTGGCTCCAGGCCCTGGGGCCCCTAGTCTTCCCTCTCCAAGACCCATGAGACAGAGGGGTGTAATGATTAGCTTTATTGTTGGCATGAAGGCAGGGAGGTGGTGACAGTGCCAGGCCCTTCTGCAGGCGAGGGAGCAGAGGGCTTGTCAGCCAGCACCAGTCCTCCAAGCTGGCCCTCCCAGTGGGGTCCAGGGCTCAGGTGCCTCTGGCTTTCAGCAGAAACAGTGGGTGAGCAGGCGAGCAGACTGCTGGGCATTGGATATGTGGGCTCCTCAGGGCTGCTCTGCAGCTGGGGTTGGACTGGAGCTAGCTGGGGGCGGGGGCCGGGGCTGGATGTCCCTCGTGCGCATATAGGACAGCAGCTGCTCTGGGATCTCGGCCAGCACGTCCTTGGCCAGTCGGGCCATGCTCAGCACCTGGTTCCCCGACCGGTCGACATAGTCTCGGAATGGGACAAACTGGGACAGGCACAGACAAGAAGGTGTGGGCTGTGGCCTGGAAAGAGGGGATGGGGGTGCAGCAGGGAGGATTCTTCTTTGACCCCCAGTATCTCTTTCAAAATATCACACCGTCTCTCTCCCCTCCATCTTGAATAGTTTTCTACATTTGCTTTCTCTCCACCCACTTTTTTTTTTTCACCTTCCATTCACCCTCAACCCACTCCAATTTGGCTTCATGCAGTCCACTGAAACTGCTCTTGCTAATGCCATCAGTATCCCCACGTTGCTAAATCAGTTCAGTGGGCAACATTTCAGTCCTCATCTTGCTGGACTTCACCTTAGCTTTCCGTCACATTCGACCATGATCTTCCTGGGCACATCCCACTCTAGAAGCTGCACCGTTCTGCTTTTTCTCTTACCTTTCTGCAAGCTCCCCCTGCCCCCTCCTTCCCCTGGGTCTACCTGCTCTCTAAACCTGGTCCCTTCTCTCTCTCAGCTCTCTTCCTGGGTGATTTCATACACTTCTGTGAAAGTTGTTCCCTGGAGGGAGGTAGAGGGGGGCAGGAGGAGGGAAGGGGATGTGGGAAGGAAGAGGAGCCAGGGGGCAGGTACCAGGGAGGAGGGGACCTGAGAAGGGGAGAGGGCCAGAGGGATGGAGTTGGGGCAAAAAGAGGGAGGTGTCTGTGAGAAGGGGGCTGAGAATGGGAGGAGGCCAGGAAAGGGGCTTGGGGAGAGAAGAGGAAGGAAGGGGTTGCTGGGGAGGAGGGACTGATAAAGGAAAAGAGAAGTAGAAAGAAGAAGGAGAAGAAAACTATTTCCTGATGACTCCCAAATTTATATATCCATCCCTGATCTCTTTTTTAAGGTCCAGAATCACATATTTGGTTACACATACTGCCTCACCATTCAGTTGTCACAGATGCCTCAAACCCAATGTGTCCACAACTGAATTCTCGCTCTTTCTGCCATCTCTCCTCTTCCAGCCTTCCCCTTCACAGCAAATGGGACCATCACTCACCCTGCTGCTCACGCTAGAAGATTGCAGGTCATCCTTGAAGCCCCCTCACTCTCATCACCATCTAATCACATCAAGCCTTGTACCATTTTCTTCTTACATATCTTTTGAACCATTCCCATTGCTTCCACCAAGATCCTTATCGCCTTCCTTCTACTACTTCAAAGGCTTCCTCATTAAGGGGTCTACCTGCCTTCTCTCCTGCCCTGCTATAGTCCACGTTCCAGGTAGCAATCAGAGAGATCCTTTAAAAATGCAAGTCTGACCCTCTTATTCACTCCCCTATGTAAAATCTTCCAAGAGTTTTCCAAGTCTTTAAGAACAAAACCCCAATTTTGCCTCCCTCTTCTCACTCAGTGTGATCCTGCTATCCTGGGTTCTGCCTTTTCCTTGATTAGGCCAATTCCTCTGAGCCTCAGGTCCTCTTCACGCACTGCTCCTCTCCTTGTAGTGCTCATACCCTCCTTTAGGTCTCAGCAAAAACACTGCTTTCAAATAGAAACCCTTTTCTGACTATGGTACTCTAAGTGAGACCCTTGTTACAGGCTTTCATAGTGCCATTTGATATTCCTCCGGAGTGCGTATCACGTATCACGATCTAATGAGATACATAGCTGCATAGCTTGTGATTACTCATTGTTGGTTGCCTCCACTAGAGGGCGAGAACCTTGGGGCTCTCCCACACCATGGATCTATCAAGCCTGCGGCAACCTTCCTGTTTGTCGAAAGAATGTATTCAGTGAATGAGGGAGGATGAAGGAGTGAGGGGGAGAAGGGCGGGTGATTGAGAAGGCAGTAAGGGAGGGTGGCTCCCAACTCAGTCTCTTCCCATTGTGCCTCTCAGTTGCACCACCTCTTCTGAGTCAGGTCTACCTGAACGATGTCCCGTTCCGCATAGCGTCCCCTAGAGGACACGCGCACATCATCACCATCCAACTCTTCCATGGCTGCAGAAAGACACCCCTCAGCTAGCTGATTGGATTCTCCAACCCCAACCCGTGCTGTGCCCTCCCTCTTAGCTCCCCTTCAGAGCTGTCATGAGAATGCCTAATAATTGTGTTAATATTAAAAATGGTTATTACCATTATCATGCCTTCCCACACATTCCATCCTCCCGAGAATCCCTGGGAGGAAGTATAGTATCATCAGCCTTAGTTATGGTGAGGAGACAGGTTCAGAGAAGGTCTAAGACTTGGCCAGGGTTCCCCAAGGGTAACCACCCTGTCTTGTCTGTGACGTAGGCCTTATTGTCCAGATCCATCTACCCATCCCCACATTTCTACCCAGTTCTCAGTCCCACTCATGGGCACCTCCATCCTACTTACCCTCAAACATGGCTGGTCCCACACCAACAATAATGATGGACATGGGCAGTGAGGAGGCCTGTAGGGGAGAGGTGAATGGTTGAGGTGAGCAGCCATAACCAGGAAGGTAACTGTCGGGAGACAGTTTTCTGTGTGTGTGTCATGTTTCTACACATCTTGTGAGCAGAAGCACTGATTCTCTTGTTCCAGACTGTTTTTAAAAGGGTGTTTATGTATTAGCAGCCTCGAAAGATATATTGTTTTTCTCTAGAGCAAGGGTAGGTTTATTTAATGTCCAGTATCATTAACAAAGAGCTCCCACTGGAACAATGGGCAGGCATGCTTACTGCTCACTATAAAAGATGCAGGTTCCCTAAGCTTAGGGTTCCTCTTCTGCAATGCAATCCACAGCAGGTGCAAGTGTCATCCTGCCCTCTTCACATCATCTTGTGGGAACTGGGACTTAGAGAGCCAGAGTAAGTGCTGATACTCCACCTACTGTTTCATGCTGGGAATAACAAAGTCCTGTGTCTCTGATCCAAGAGTCTTGTGTCTGCTGCCAGCACCCATGAAACTGGCAGGCTAACGTGTTAGCTTGCAAGTAGGGTAAAATCTCAGCGCCTTCACAGTATTGCCATCACCCCTCCCTGCCAAGCCCTCCTCCTCAGACTCACACTGACGATGGCCTCCTTGGTCTGTGTCATGTCAGAGATGACTCCATCCGTGATGATGAGCAGAACATAGTACTGGGAACCGTCAGAGATCTTGGCTGCAGCCCTGGGTGAGAGGCCAAAATCAGAATCCAGCTGAAAGCCAGACAGGCCAAAGGAACCTCCTACCTCCAAAGCTTTTACAGCCAGCGTGTGAACAAAAGACAAGAACTGGGGTTTCTGAAGCTCATGTTCCTTAACCAGACCTGGCAGCCTACCCCTGCCTGCCATCCCTCCAGAAATATTTATTTAGCACCTAATATGGTAGGGACTAGAGATACACAAGGAAGAAAAACAAATCCATCCCAGCCCTCTAGAGTGAGGCAGGCATTAATCCATGAATCACACAAAGAGGTATAAATTACTACTGGGATGAGTGCTGTCATGGAGGGGACATTACTGTGACAGTGTACAATAGGGGATCCTGACCTGGTCCAGAAAGTCAAGGTCAGTGAAGGCTGCTTCTTCTTCTTCACTTGTTTTTGTTTTTGTTTTTGAGACAGAGTCTTGCTCTGTCACCCTGGGTAGAGTTAAGTGGCGTCATCGCAGCTCACTGCAATCTCAAACTCCTGGGCTCAAGCAATCCTCCCACCTCGGCCTCCCAGAGTCCTAGGATTACAGGCGTGACCCACCTGGCCTGGTGAAGGTTTCTTTGAGGAAGTGATGTTTGAGGATAGGGGAGAGGCTAAGTAAAGTGGGCAGGGGGAATCATTCTAAGTAGAGGGAACAACATAGACAGAGGCCCTCTGGTGGGTCTGAAGGAAGCCCATCCTCTCCGGAGGTCAGAAAGTGAGGAAAGCAGAGTGGACCATGTGGCGGAGGGAGCATAGAGGCCTGACCACACTGGGCTTTATCAACCCCTGGAAAGATTTTGATGTTGATACAAGAGCAAGAACAAAGACTAAAGGTTTCCTCGCTTCCCTCTCTCCCTCATTTCTTTTCTCTCTCTTTTCCCCTCTGCTGACCACATCCCCTTGTCTGGGCTGCTGGGTCCCCCTGCAGCCAGTCAGTCCTCCCTCAGACAGTCTAATAGCTGTTCCCAAGCTGCTTTTCCTTCTCTCGCTAATCTTCAAATCCAAGATTTTTCTCTCTGAAAAGGACGTCAGAAGTCATTGAGTCCAATCGCTTCTTGGCCTTTTGGCTAAGATCAAGTGCAGAAGTCATTGAGTCCAGTGCCCTTATTTTACATAAAAGAAAAATGAAACATAGAGAGGGCACAAAGGCAGTGGCAGACCCTAGTCTCTCTACTTCTAGTCTCAAATCCTATGTGGATTGGAAAGGATGGAGCTATGCTGTCCAAGTAGCCCTGGCTATATGTGGCTATTTAAATTTAAATTTAATTAAATTAAAGAGAATTAAACATTCAGTTCCTTGGTCACCCAACTACCTTCCTTCCTTCCTTCCTTCCTTCCTTCCTTCCTTCCTTCCTTCCTTCCTTCCTTCCTTCCTTCCTTCCTTTTTCTTTCTTTCTTTCTTTTTTTTTTTTGAGACAGGGTGTCACTCTGTGACCTAGGCTAGAGTGCAGTGGCATCATTTTGTCACAGCTCGCTGCAACCTCAAACTCATGGCCTCAAGTGATCCTCCTGCCTCATCCTCCCAAAGTACTAGGATTATAGGCATGAGCCACTGCACCCAGACCCTAGCTACCTTCAAGCGCTCAGTATCCATATGTGGCTGGTGAATACCACATTGGACAACACAGATACAAAACATTTCCATCATTTTAGGAAGTTCTATTGGATAGTGCTGGTATTTAAACCTGATCTCGAAAAGTCAGCAGAAAGGCATGGTTATAGAGTATAGAATTAAAATAGCTTTGGCTCACTTTGTTGGCTCACTTTGCCCAGGGCCCAGAGTGGGGGTGGGTCATGATCCTCTGTAATAGTCCCTGCCCCCTTCCTGAAATCTGGCCCCAGCCTCTGCATAGGTCTGGCCTGGCATCTTCTCCTGTCACTCACTCATTTCACGAATAGTCATTGCATACGTGCTATGTGTTGGTCACCAAGCTCAGTGCTGAGCATGCAGCACAGAATAGGGTATCGTCCTAGGGGAGATGCTTAAACTACTAGAATGCATTGAGGTTAAGGCTTTGAGGACCTCACATCTAACCTAAGACCTGAAAAATGAGCAGAGTTCAGCCAGATGACAGTGAGGTGGGGAAGGGTGATAGGGATGGGAGAGTAGAGGAAACGTGTTCCAGAGAGAGAGAGTGGCAAGTGCAAACCAAGAGAGTATGTTCTAGGATTTGCACGTAGACCTACAAAGGAGAGATGAGGCTGGGGCAGTAGGGAGGGCCCACTTGTAAAGGGATTGTGAGCTGGGGGCAGCAGGCATCACCCTTTAGTTTGGAGGCCTGGGAGGTGTATACTTGGTTCCCTATAGGTGCCTTGCATTCCAAGGCATGTAGATCTGGAAGTTGGCAGAGGAAATGGGTGACTGGCCAGGGGAGGCCAGTCTGTGTCTCACTTGGCTGTAGGGTAGGAAACAACCGAGTCCTTTGACATCATCAAAATCACAGCTGTGCACTCAACATATGCGATTGAATTCAATCCTCACTGCCATTCTATGAGGTAGGCACCTTTTTTATTCCTGTTTTTTAAAATGAGAAAACTGAAGTTTAGAGACATTAAGTAGCATCCTTGGCTGACACAGTGGCTCACACCTGTAATCCTAGCACTTTGGGAGGACAAGGCGGGAGGATTGCTTGAGGTCAGGAGTTCGAGACCAGTCTGAGCAAGAACTAGACCCTATGTCTACAAATTATTTTGAAACTTAGCCAGGAGTGGTGGCACATGCCTGTAGTCCCACCTACTTGGGAGGCTGAGGTAGGAGGATCACTTGAGCCCAGGAGTTTGGTATTGCAGTGGGCTATGATGACACCATAGCACTCTAGCCTAGGCAACAGAGTGAGACCCAGAAAAAAAAAGTAGCATCCCCAAGAGCTGGTAAAACTTGGGTCCAACTGTGTAATAGTAACACCCTAAAGCTCAAGCTCTTGATTCCATCACTCTCCATTCTCAGTCTGCTCTCTGGACACTTCCCCATATACACCGCACGCCCCAGTCATACTAAACTGATGATTGTTTCCTAAACTTGCCCCTTCGTGTCTCTGTGCTTTTCACATGCCATTTCTTCTACCAGGCCTACTCTACCCCTCTTTCTCTAATAAAGCCCACTCTGCCCTCTAGACCCCACTGAGCAGTCCCCTCTGCAGTAGGCCTACACCCTCCCCTCTCTCTCCCTCTGCGCAGCCCACAAAGATGGGCTGTCGGTGCTTCTCCACGTGGGTCTTCACTGCGTGATCTGGTGGGTACAGCTAGATGATTATAAGTACATTTAAAACGCCCTTTCATTTTTCTAAATTAACCACTTCAGTACGGTGCTCACAGGCCGCAAAACCTCGCCCACAGTTGGTACTCACAGTCCCCACGATAGTCTGTGCTGTGCATTGACAAATCCATTTTGCTCTTGTGTGATGAGGAAAGCTTTAAAGCACTGAAAGCTTGTTTTACTTTACAGCCAGCTTTACTTGTAATGTAAATCAGAATAGGTAATGTATACATATATGTTTTCATTACGTTATTTTTAAACGTTCACAATTTTATTTTGATAAATGAAAAACTAGAAAAGTCATATCATGGCTGTCAGCTAAAGTTGCTGTGTGCGTTCATCTGTGGCTATCAACTATAGTCAATGCTTGTACCGAAGTGGTTAAACATGGATGCCCGGCCGGGCGCAGTGGCTCACGCCTGTAATCCTAGGACTCTGAGAGGCTGAGGTAGGAGGATGGCTCAAGGTCAGGAGTTCAAAACCAGCCTGAGCAAGAGCGAGATCCCCACCTCTACTAAAAATAGAAAGAAATTAATTGGCCAACTAAAAATATATAGAAAAAAAATTAGCCAGGCATGGTGGCGCATGCCTGTAGTCCCAGCTACTTGGGAGGCTGAGGCAGGAGGATCACTTGGGCCTAGGAGTTGGAGGTTGCTGTGAGCTAAGCTGATGCCACAGCACTCACTCTGGCCTGGGCAACAAAGTGAGACTCTGTCTCAAAAAAAAAAACCAAAAAAAAAAACATGGATGCCATGTGAGAAGAATATAAAATTTGCATGAATCTTTAAGATGAAATATGGAGACTTCAAAGACATTCTCAGCCTGGCTGCCTTCAGCTGTGCCCCTAGATTCCCCCAGGGGGATGCAGTCGCTTGCCTTTGCAGACAGGCAACTCACTAGAGAAGTCTGGGAAGCTCTGGCCTACAGAAGGTAATGATTTATTTATATTTCTGTCTCTTGCACCAAGGTGGGAGCTCCCAAGGGCAGGGACTACATCTGATTAATCTGTGAGTCTCCTGTGCCCCAGCAGAGAGCTAAGCACACAGCAGATGCACTTTGAATAGTAATAATGATAATAATAGTAACAGTAATAGCTAGCACTTATAGTACTTATGATGTGAAAGGCACTGTTCTAAGTGCTTGACATCTATTAATTAGTTAGTCCTCACGACAACCCTATGATGTAGATATTATTATTATTATTTTACAGAAAGGTTAAGAGTCTTGACCAAAGCCACACAGCTTGTGAGTGATACAGCTGCTGTATTAACTTAGTGAGTCTGGCTCATTGCCCCTTTACCGAATGTTTACTAAATGAATGAATAAATCAATCAGTGTAGTTGCTCAAGATAACATTTAAGAAGTCTACTTAATAACAACAAAAAATATGCTTAGGGCCGGGCACGGTGGCTCACGCCTGTAATCCTAACACTCTGGCAGGCCGAGGCGGGCGCATTGCTTGAGGTCAGGAGTTCAAAAACCAGCCTGAGCAAGAGCGAGACCCCATCTCTACTAAATATAGAAAGAAATTAATTGGCCAACTAAAAATATATAGAAAAAATTAGCTGGGCATGGTGGCGCATGCCTGTAGTCCCAGCTATTTGGGATGCTGAGGCACAAGAATCGCTTGAGCCCAGGAGTTTGAGGTTGCTGTGAGGTAGGCTGATACCACGGCACTCTATCCCAGGCAACAGAGTGAGACTCCGTCTCAAAAAAAAGAAAAAATATGTAGTGAAATGTTATATGTAATTTGACTATAATTATGGATATGTATGGAAAATACCGTCGAGAACTATCTATATATCCACATTCCCATGGGCAATATCAGGTTGACTTCTCACTTCATTTTTGTATCCTTGAGATATTCTATAGCAATGTTATGTTATTTTTATAATTTAGAAACTATTGTCATCATTATGCATTAAAAAATAAATCTTTATTAGGGAAAAAGGAAGTCTATGGACACATATAAATCTCCCTGAAATCCATCTATTGTTATTCTTTTTTTTTTTTTCATCTTTTTACTTCCAAGCTTTCTGAGGTACTTTGTTTTAACTGGGTCTCTTCTATTCAGCATATAGTGGGGTTTACTTATATTTTTATTCAATTAGAGAATCTTTTTATTTTTCAAGCTCAGAGCTTATCCTATTTATTGATGTATGTTTGGTTCTATCATTTTATTTTAAATTTGTTTTAAATTTATTTTTAATTCCCTCTAATTATCTTCTTTTTTTAAGAGATAGGGTCTTAACTCTGTTGCTTAGGCTGGGTGTGTTCATAGCTCGCTGCAACCTAAAACTCCTAGGCCCAAGAGATCCTCCAGCCTCAGCACTCCCAAAGTGCAAAGATTACAGGCATGAGCCTCCACACCTGGCCCTCTTTGTGTTTTAAAATCATTTGATACATGATCTGGGTTTTCTTCCCTGTGTGTATGTGTATATAAATGTAAATATATGTGTGTATGTGTGTGTGTGTGTGTGTGTGTGTGTGTGTGTGTGTGTGTGTATTTGTTTTCTTAGAGAGAAGGTCTCACTCTGTTGCCTAGGCTGAAGTGCAGTGGCACAATCATAGCTCACTACAGCCTCCAGCTCCTGGGCTCAAGTGATCCTCTGGGAAGCCGAGGCAGGAGGATCACTTGAGGTCAGGAGTTCAAGACTAGCCTGAGCAGGAGCCTGAGCTCGGGAGTTTGAGTTTGTGGTGAGTTTCTCTGTGTTGACAGAGAAAGACTCTGTCTCAAAAAAAAAAAAAAAAAAAAAAAAAAGAAGAAGAAGCAACTGCTTATTGTCATGCATTATTACACCACCTTATAGGAATGAAATGGATGCTTAAAGAAGCTAAGCTGCTCAAGGGCACGTGGTCAGTGAGTGGGTAGAGCCAGGATCACACCCAGGTCTGATGCCAAAGCTTGTGCCTTCACCATTGTGCTACAGGCTCTTCTCTCTCTGACCCTAACTCAAGGCCTGGGTTGTCATTCCCAGGGAGTGGGGTTGGGGTAGTTTGTCAACACCCTCTCTGCCCCACAATAAGGTACAGTCAGCACTTGGTATCCATGGGGGGGTTAGTAGTACCCATGGATACCAAAATCCTCAGATGTGCAAGTCCCTTATATAAACTGACATAGTATTTACCTATAACCTACGCATATCCTCCCATATACTTTAAATCATTTCCAGATTACTTATAAATACTGTGTAAATAGTTGTCATACTATATTGTTTTTAAATTCATATCTTTTTGCTGTTGGGTTTTTTCCCCCCAGATATTTTTTATCTGCAGTTGGTTGAATCCATATATATAGAACCCATGGATATGGAGGGTAGAATGTATCATGTAACCTCTCTGTACCAGAGCCTGGCCAACACCAAACCTTTCCCTTTCTCCCCAGTGCCCAAGTTCACACAAGAGTGGTCGTGACTACCCTTAGGGAGTCATTTCCCTATCTGGCGGCCCTCATTTCCCCCAGCCACTACCCAGCTCCCTTACCTGGCCACCTGGTTGATGACAGGAGCAAAGTAGGTGGGCCCGTAGAGCTGCACAGTGCGCAGGCTCTGGAAATAGCTCTCCAGCACGCCCTCAATGCCCACACAGTTGGGGTCCTCGTCATTGTTGTTCTGTCAAAGAAAAGGCCTTGCCAGGCTGAGCCCATGCAGCACCGTATACCCAGGAGTGCTCTGATCCCAGCTCACTCCTTCCTTTTTCCATTGGTGCCTTTCATGCTCCCTTCCAAACCCAGGCCTGCTCCCCTCCCTGCTTTGCCACCCTCTCATAGCTCCCTGCTCTTCTGCAGGCCCTTGCCCTTTGAAGAAATTCATCAACTTGTATGTGCCAGGTGCCAGGGCATGGACTGTAGGCTCTGGCCCATACCATACCAGGGGGAACTGGTGGGAGATCCGTCCCTCTGGGGGCAGCTTAGCCCCAAAGCCATAAGCTGGGAAGAGCTTGTCACTGTCATAGTCCTGGATGATCTCTCCCACTGCCTTCAGGGCCATGGCATAGGCGCTGAGCTGGTAGGGACTCATGTAGTGCAGGGAGGTAGGCTGCAGGGGATTCCCTGTAGGGACACAGGAGCCCCAGCCTCATGGTTACCTGGACCATCCTTTTGTTCAGCTGCTTACCCTTGTATGCATTTGTTTACCTATATCCATTTATCCCCCCTCTACCCATGTACTCCCTTATTATTTTACCCAATCATCCATCTGTTCATTTATCCATCTATCCACCCAACCATCCCTATGTCTATCCTCATTTATCCCCTACCCATACATCCATCCACCCATCTTACCTGGCTGTACATCCATCTTTCAATATACCTATCCATTCTATCCACCCACCTCTCCATTCTCTTATACATCTATCCATCCATCCATACATACATACATCCACTTGTTCACCTGTCATTTTTCTTTCTTTTCCATCCATCTATCCAGCAATATTATTATTATTATTATTTTTTTTTTTTTGAGACAGAGTCTCACTTTGTTGCCCAGGCTAGAGTGAGTGCCATGGCATCAGCCTAGCTCACAGCAACCTCAAACTCCTGGGCTCAAGCAATCCTCCTGCCTCAGCCTCCCGAGTAGCTGGGACTACAGGCATGCACCACCATGCCCGGCTAATTTTTTCTATATATATTAGTTGGCCAATTAATTTCTTTCTATTTTTTTATAGTAGAGACGGGGTCTCGCTCAGGCTGGTTTTGAACTCCTGACCTCGAGCAATCCGCCCGCCTCGGCCTCCCAGAGAGCTAGGATTACAGGCGTGAGCCACCGCGCCCGGCCAGCAATATTATTTTATCCATCTATCCATCCAGCTATTCCTCTCCATTTTATTCATTCACTTGTCTATTTTTGTATGGATCCATGCATTCATCCATTCCCCTACCTACTTACCTGTTATTTTCTCAACTTAAACATCTGTCCATTTGTCTAGCCACCTACCCATCCCTACATCTACTTGTACCTACTGCACTCACTCACCAACCCATCTACCCACTCTGTTCATCAATGTTCCCATCCATTCATCACTCCTTACCTAGTCATCTATCCATCTCTCCTTATAACCCCATTCTCTCCCATACGTCCATTTACTAATCCACCTGTTGAGCTGTCTATCATTTCAACTTTCTTTGATCTATCTATCCACCTATTTTCCTATATCCTCTGGCACCCTTGTACCTAATAATCTCCCTCCAACACTCTTACCCCAGTACCGTCCCAAGTCTGGGCTTCTTGGGTAGGAAAACTCTTATTCCAAGCTAGGAATCCAGGCCAATCCCTAGTGACTCCCTTAGGATTCCACCCCCGACAAATCCCCCGCCCATGCCTCACCATTGGAAGCTGTGAAGTCAATAGCTACTGTGAAGTTCAGCTGTGTCCTGTTGGGGAAGTAGAAGAGTTGAGAAGTGAGGAACTAGTGCTTATTACACCAGGATTTCGCAAACATTAATGTGCATATGGATCACCTGGGGCTCATGGTTGGGGTGGAGCCTAACGAATTCCCAAGTGATGCTGCTGCTACTGGAGCATGGACCACACTTTGGGTAGCAGAATTCAGTATCTACTGTGTGACAAGCGCATTATATGTAATTTAATTTAAGCCTTACTATATCTCCGAAGTAATAATTAACATCCCCATTTTACACAGGAGAAAAGTGAGGTGCAGAGAAGCAAAGTACCTTTCCCAGGCCGGCCTGCCTCCACCAAACCAACCAGAATGTCCCCTACAGTCTGCTTGGGTTTTCCCTCCCTCGGCCTCTCCCTCCTTCCTGGCTATAACTTTTGTCTGGGCCCCAGTCAGGTTACTGGGGGCACCACTGAAGACCACGGGCGCGGCAGCCATCGTCCTCGGGGGTACTAGAAGATGAGAAGGAAATGCATCCCCATTAAGAGAGCTAAGAGGGGAAACGTTTTGCATTTTGCAGAGCACTTTATAGTTTGCCAAGTGTTTTAAAGTTCATCTTCATGATCTCATCGGCCCTGACCATCCATAAATACGAAAACTAGGGCTCAGAACTGGGAGTGGCTTATTGCCGGGCTTTCAGCCCAGAGCTTGGCCTGTGACTCACCCTCCCTTGATGTAATCAACAAACGTGAATTCAGAGTCCACAGAGAAAGAGAGCAGCGTCACCTGTGGGACAGAAGAGGCAGTCTTGACACTTTGGAAAGGGTGGTAGAAGGGAGAGAAGCACAGTAGTGCTTTGGAGAGAGGCACATGATCCCACCCCTGCCCCAACCCGTCTCACCCTGTTCAATTTGTGAAAGGGTAAAAAGGGGAAGATGTCAGATACATCGTTGGATTTCCAGAAGTATATAAAATTGGGATGCTGGGCATAGTAACCCACGCCTGTAATCCCAGCACTTTGGGAAACCAAGGTGAGAGGATCTCTCAAGGGCAGGAGTTCGAGACCAGCCTGGGCAACATAGTGAAACCCAGTCTCTCCAAAATAATAATTAAAAAAAACCAACTAGCTGGGTATGACAGCATGCACCTGTATTCCCAGCTACTCAAGAGGCCGAGGCAGGAGGATCCCTCGAGCCCAGGAGTTGGAGGTCACAGCGGACTATGATCATGCTACTGCCCTCCAGCCTGGGTGACAGAGGGAGTCCTGTCTCTATAAATAAATAAATAGGGAAATGCAACTTAGGGTGTTTTTTCTTTTATTCTGTAAGAGAGTAAATTTTTCCTGGGTGAGAAAAAACCAAAACAAACATTAAGTGGTGTACCTTGTGCCCAACATTACTATATCCAAGTAATCTGTGCCCACTGCCTTTCCCTACCCCCTACATTTGTCATGCTGTGTCAGTGGGGACAGAAACAGAGGGATCTAGGAAGGGCCAGAGCTCCAGGGAGCACTCACAGTTCCTGAGTTGACGTATTTCTTCTTCTTACATTTCTTCCGAGGGTTAAGTACCTAAGTGGGGGAAGGTGACAGTGAAGGTGGGAAACAAAGGAAGGGAGCTCCAGACTGAGTGTACCAGGATGGAGGGCTTGGGTAACCCGCTCAGGGCTGGGGCTCTCACCTCGTATACTGTGAACTGGTTCTGGGCCTTGCTCAGCTCCCGGTAGCTGGTAGTAAACTCCCCGATGAAGTCGTGGCTGCAATGAGACCAGGGGCAAGTGAGCAGCAGTAGCCACTGGTTTGGAGCCAGGCCTAAACCTAATCTTTCCATTTCCTCCCATCCTAAGCTCCTACTTGGCAGGGCACCAGGGCTGGGGCCAGAAGTGGGGCCAAACTAAGGGGAAGAAAAGGGAAGAGACAGTATACCAAAGAGACAACTCAGGGGATCAGTTGTACCCAAGGCCCTGGTATCTCTCATTACCCTTCCTGGCTCCCAAGGCTACTTTGGGGTTCCTGGTGAATGTGTCACATGTTATGGAGAACTTTTTGGGTTAAGCACAGGAAAAGGGACTGTGTGGGGCAGTTCTACCTTCCATTGCGGTCCCAGTCATACACATCAATCTTCACTGTCCTGAAATGCAAGAGATAAACAGGCTAGGTGTGTATGACAATCTCATCCACTTAACCATTAGCAAATTGTCTCCCCATCCACTCATCTGTCCTTCCATCAACCTATTCATCTTTTGATCTACTTCCCAACCTGTCTATTCATTCATCAGTCCTTATATGTACCCAACCATCTACCATTGTTACTGCTGCTACTGTTCTTTTACCACTTACTGAGTCTTACTGTATTCCAGGCATAGCTCTCAGCACTTCCACAGATTGTCTCATTTAATTTAACAACCACCCTATATACAATACGTTCTATTATTCTTATTTTTGGATAAGGAAATTGAGATACAAAAAAAAAGTAACCTTGCTAAGATCTCATAGCTAGTAAGTGACTGAGGTGAGATTTAAACTCAGACATCCTGGTTCCAAAGACCTTGTTCCTATCATGCCTAAGTCATCCCATATGTCCATCTGTCATCGTATCAGCCCATTTAAATGTCTATCCATCTAATCACCCATTTACTCTTACATTTGCCAATCTATTATTTATTAATTCATCTCTCTCTTTTTTATTTTTATAAAGACTCATCTCAAATAATTCATCTCTTTATCTACCTGTCAAACTATACATCCAGCCATTGACTGACTCACTGATGTATATAAACATCCATCTGTCTATTCATATGCCCAACCAAACATCCAACTATATAACATCAGTCCATCTGGTCATCCATTCATCTGCATAACCATCCAACTATTTATCCATCTATGTGCCCATCTATTCTTCCATCCTCTCACTTGTCCGTATCCACCTATCTTTATACTTTATACACCATTTATTCATTCATTAGGCCAGCTTATCTATCTACTTTATACCCATTCATCAACTAATTCACCCACTAATCCATCAGTTCATCAGTATGCCATCTATTCATCTGTCCGTCCATCAATCTACCTGTCACTCCACCTACCCTTTTCTATTCCACCTGCTTTTCCATTCGTCTACCTCTCCTGTCATCTATCAAACTCTCATTTACCTGTCTATCACCTATCTACTCATCTATCAGTGCATACATTTACTCATCCATCTGTTAATCCATCCATCATCTGTCCATCTACTAATCTACCCATCAGTCCAATTATCCATTCATCTGCTATCCATTCATTTATCTCCCCTCTAACCACCCACCAATCTTCTTATACATCAGTCCACATACCCATCCAACCATTCACCAGTTTATTCCTCCATCAACCATCCATCCATGTATCTACTCATTTGTTTGTTCATCTGCACTTTGATCTTCAATCCACCTACCAGTCTACCCATCCACCCATGGATAGTCCATCTTCCCATCTATGTGGCTAGCCATCCGCCTCCCCATCTACCCATCTTCATGCCCAAGAACTCTGTCTCACTGAGCAGGGCCCTCCAACACTATTATGACACTCCTACCATCATTCTGGAAACCCCACTGCCATGTCCTTGGCCCCTCGCTCCCCAGCTCATGCTGAAGCAGACCTGTCGTAGTCTCCGTTGCACAGCGCCCGCACAGGGATGCTGAAGGGCTGCCACACCGGGTTCAGCGTGTTCTTCACAACTTCTGTCTTGTGGCAAATAGTGAACCTGGCGGGGAGCAGGAGGGTTGGAACCTGCCCTGAGGGTAGGACCAAATCTCCTAGAGATTCCTAAGATCCTCCCACTTATTAAGCATATGCCCCACACCCAGCCTGAGAGCCCTGATGGCAGTGACTCACGTGCCATCCTCATTGCTCCTGTAGAACACGAGGAAGGGGTCTGATTTCCCAAAGAAGTCCTTCTTGTCCAGCTTGTTTGCACATAGCTGCATGGTAGCGATGTCCTAGGGATGGATGAAGTTGGGCTGTTGGCACTCGAATTGCCCATAGCCTTCATTTTTTTTTTTTTTTTTTTTTTTTTGAGATAGACTTTCGCTTTGTTGTCCAGGCTAGACTGAGTGCCGTGGTATCAGCCTAGCTCACAGCAACCTCAAACTCCTGGGCTCAAACAATCCTGCTGCCTCAGCCTCCCGAGTAGCAGGGACTACAGGCATGTGCCACCATGCCCGGCTAATTTTTTCTGTATATATTAGTTGGCCAATTAATTTCTTTCTATTTATAGTAGAGACGGGGTCTTGCTCTTGCTCAGGCTGGTTTTGAACTCCTGACCTCGAGCAATCCGCCCGCCTTGGTCTCCCAAAGTGCTGGGATGACAGGTGTGAGCCACCGCGCCTGGCCCATAGCCTTCATTTTTAAATTTTTCTTTTATTATACATTTTTATTTATTATTTTTATTAAATTTAAATTCTTCTCTTTCTTTCTTTTAACCACTACTGATTGGATATGCCCGTAGCCTTCAGAAAGTCCACTAAAGGGTATACAGGGAGAAAGGCTCTCCTGGGTCTTGCACGTGGCCCTTACTGACCCGACAATTGCTAAGCTCCTCTGCAGTCAGCAGTATGCTCCCACACTTCTTGCCTGGTACACCCCTGGAAGCAGAAAAAGCCTATTAGTGAGAGGAAGGAGGGTAGACAACAAAGATTGGGGTGGCCAGTCTGGGATTGGGTGGGCCAGGGGATTCAATTTGCCATTTACTAACAGTCCCTTAAGTGTGTCCCTTTCTGTCCTGGGTGGCTCCTGGTGGGGAAGGGCCTGCTGTGGCTGGGGAGGGGTCTGCAGTCTGGTAGGAAGGGGTTAGACTAGCTGAGGTGAACATCTTATATGGTAGTACAAAAAGACATGGGATTTAGAGTCAGCGGACTCAGGGTGAATTTTATGATTTTCAAGCTGTGTGACCCTGGGCAAGTCATTTCCCCTTTCTGGGCCTTAGTTTTCTCCTCTATGAAATGGGAATCATGACTGCCTGTCAGGTAATGAAGAGATACGAATAAGTGCATGGAAGGAAAAGCAACTTGCAAGCTTTACAGATATGCAATGGTTATATTCTTCAAAGCAGACCCTGCTTCCTGTCATATGCCAGGTGCAATGCTAGATCTGAATTGGCCAGTTGGCACTCTCTAGCTCTGCTAGATTCTGCACTCAGGGAGCTTCTAGGGGAAGGTGGAACATCAAAGCCAGTAGGCAGGCCGGGCGCGGTGGCTCACGCCTGTTAATCGACACTCTGGGAGGCCGAGGCGGCGGATTGCTCGAGGCAGGAGTCGAAACCAGCCTGAGCAAGAGCAAGACCCCGTCTCTACTATATAAAAGAAATTAATTGGCCAACTAATATATAAGAAAAAATAGCCGGCATGGTGGCACATGCCTGTAGTCCCAGCTACTCGGGAGGCCGAGGCAGGAGGATCACCTGAGCCCAGGAGTTTGAGGTTGCTGTGAGCAAGGCTGACGCCAGGCACTCACTCAGCCTGGGCAACAGAGTGAGACCTGTCTCAAAAAAAAAAAAAAAAAAAAAAAAAACCCAGAGGCAATGAGTGATGGAGCAATTCTGGATGAGGCACAGGAATTTCTATCCAGACCCAGGGGCAAAAGGGCTGGTTCCTTAGGTCAAAGTTGATGTTCTTTCTGAAGACTGTGAAGAGTGAGGGGGAAAAAAAAAGACAAGAGAAGCTTTATCTCTCCTGATCCTAGAAGGGACACTTCCATGTGCTTGAAGGGTATACTCAAGGGTCTCCATCCCCAACAGTAAGGGGCCTTTGTTGACAGGGGCCTGTGAACCATGATTCCCAAAGGGATCCAAAGTATGGCAGAGAGAAAACTAGGTCAGGGGATCCTAGGTTCAGTCCTGGCTCTGACTTGCTATGTGATTTCCCCATATTCAAAATAAACTGTTTCTTTGACTCTTTCAGCCTCTGACTCTCCATGCTTTAATGAGGGGGAGTGTGATGAGGACAGGGACAAATTATTGATCCTATTGCCTCCTCACTGCTCTTCGCCTCTTTGATGTTTCCTTTACCCCTCACCTGGTGTGAGCTCCAGCCAATGATTATAATAATCACTCCCTTGCAGCCTGCCTTCTTCTTCCTTGCCCTTCTCTCACTTTGATATACTTATTGTTTGGCAGAACCACAGCCCTAGTTAAGTCCAACTCTCCACCTAACCCATATTGCACCTGTGAAACTGAAATGGCCAGAAAAAACACACAATTATGCTAACTGATCTCATTTTAAATGCATGACCACAAACCTCAAGAGGGTCCATAATGGTGCCTGGTAATCATACTGTACATCCCAAGGCCCTTCGCTCTCCAGCCCTGCTAAATGGCAGTTTCACTCCTCCTCTGTCCTCAAACCCCCAGAGCCTCCCCCCTCATCCTCACTCACAGGCAGTGACCTTGTTTCCTACTCACTGACAAAACTACAGCAACCAGAAGAGCATGTCCACCCCCCACCACACCTACCCTGCCACCAGTGTCTTCACCCACACAGCTAAGACGCCTACGGCTGCTATAAATGTACTGTCCATGTGCCTATTTACCCCTCTGCTGTGTACTATATTTCATACCATCTTGTCTGCACAAGGACATCGCTTCACCTCATTTTATTACATTAAAATTTCAGTTCCTACTTGGTCATTCCCATCAACATACAAATGTGGTGTAATTTTTCTCATGTTAAATAAAAATTATATTCTTCAAGTGGAAGCCCTAGCCAAAAAAAAGAAATATATATATATATATATAATATATATGTATATATCTAGATTCACAAAAGGTCATGAAAAAAAGTTATAAACCTATTCTTGACCTCACTTCCTGCTCCAGCCATATCTTCTTTTCTCTTTTCCCCTTTGAAGCAAAACTCCTTGAAAGATCACTTGACTCCCATTCCCTGCTTCTGTTCTCTTCTAAACCTCGTGAACCTTCACCTCTTCTTCAAAACTATGCTTGTTGGCTGGGCATAGTGGCTCATGCCTGTAATCCCGGCACTTTGGGAGGCCAAGGTGGGATAATCACTTGAGGCCAGGAGTTTAAGATCAGTCTGGGCAACATGGCAAGACCTCATCTCTACAAAAAATAAAACAATTATTAGATCCATTAGAATTAAAAAGAGAAAAACAGAAAGAAAAAAGGAAAAAATAAATGAAAAAATTAGCCAGGCGTTGTGGTACATGCCTATATCCCAGCTACGTAGCAATCCTCCTACGTAGGAGGATTGCTTGAGCTAGGGAGTTTGAGGCTGCAGTGAGCTATGATTGCACCTCTGCACTCTAGCCTGGGCAACAGAGCAAGAGCCTGTCTCCAAAAAACACCCCAAACCAAAAAACTCTGCTTGTGAGAGTCACCAGGGATCTCCATCTTGCCAAATCCAATGGCTAATCCCCAGTCCTCATCTTATTAGACTTACAGCAACATTTCATGCGGTTGGTCACTCTTTCCTTCTTGATAAACTTTCTTCATTTTGCTTCCAGGAAGGCATCACCTTCTCTTGGTGCTCCTCCTACTTCATTGATTGCTCTTTCTCAATCTCCTTTTCTAGATCCCCATGGAGTCTCAATCTTTGGTTCTCTCATCCCCTCTCTCCCTGTCTTGCTCTCATACCCTCCACCTGTCACTCCCTTGGTGATTTAATCTAGTATCATGGCCTTAAAGAACATCTAAGACTCATGTGTCATATTGCCTATTTGATACCTCCACTTGGATGTCTAATAAAATATATAAAAGTTAACATGTCAGGCCGGGCGCGGTGGCTCACGCCTGTAATCCTAGCACTCTGGGAGGCCGAGGCGGGCGGATTGCTCAAGGTCAGGAGTTCGAAACCAGCCTGAGCAAGAGCAAGACCCCGTCTCTACTAAAAATAGAAAGAAATTAATTGGCCAACTAATATATATAGAAAAAAAATTAGCCGGGCATGGTGGCGCATGCCTGTAGTCCCAGCTACTCGGGAGGCTGAGGCAGGAGGATCTCTTGAGCCCAGGAGTTTGAGGTTGCTGTGAGCTAGGCTGACGCCACGGCACTCACTCTAGCCTGGGCAACAAAGCGAGACTCTGTCTCAAAAAAAAAAAAAAGTTAACATGTCAGACTCAACTTCTGATTGATTTCCTCCCCTCACCTTGCCTCTCCTTCACTTTTTTTTCCACCATCTCAGTTGGTGGCAATTCTGTCTTTCCAGTTGTTTAATACAAAGGCCTTAACGTTGTCCTTGACTCCTTTCATATCTCATATTCAGTCTTCAGGAACCTGTTGGCTCCACCTTCAAAATATATCCAGAATCTGACCACTTCTCCCCTCTTCACTGCTAGCACACTGGATTATTGTCACAGCCTTGTCATTGGCTCTTTCCTTCTACCTTTGGCCACCCACGGTTTATTCTCAACCAGGAGCCTTTGAAAGCATAGTCAGATCATGTCCCTCAGAACCAAGGACTCCCATGTCAGAGTGATAGCTAATGTCCTTACAGCAGCTATGAGGCCTCTCCTGTTAACTCTCTAACTACCTCTCACTTACTGGGCTCCAGCCCCCATGGCCTCCCTGCGGTTCTTTGAATGCACCATGCTTTTGTACTGGCAGTTCCCTCTGCCTGGGACATCCTTCCTCCACCTGTCTGCAGTGCTTACTCTCTGACCTTCAGACTGTTGCTCCAGAGTTACCTGTCCATGAGGCCTACTCAGCCACCCGCCGAGCATTTCCAATCACCCTTATTCTGCTTTACTTTTTCCCTTTCCCCATAGCACTTAATATCTTCTAATATGTAACTTATTACATCTATTTTGAACTGCCTCTCCCAACTAGAGCATAGCTTCCAGAAGGCAGCGACGTTTGTTTTGTCACCACTGCAATCCAAACCCCTTGAATGGTGGCTAACAGAGTATGTGCACAGTGGTCTTTGTGGGATGGATGCATCCCTGGTGCCTGGAACAGGGCATGGCATACAAAACATGCTAATGCGTATTTAGTGAATGAATACAAATGGACATTCCTGAGGATTTGATTTAGTCGGGGGACGCTTCCTGGTAGAGAGTGGCTTGGAAATGGACCTTAAAGGTTGAATCAGACTTAGAAAAAGAGGGGGCAGAGAGAGCGAGTGAGAGAGAATATGTCATGCCTGAGACTGACTTGCGCACAGCAGCCCTGGAAACTGGACTTTCTCACAAGGGTGATGGGCGCCAGTGAAAGCTCCTGACCAGGAGCAATCCCACCCTTCACTGCTGATGGTCAGCAGCTTCCTCTAAAGGGAGAATTTGGAGGCTCCCACCCCTCTCCTGCACCCCTTCCCGTTCAGCTCACGTGAGGGGTCGCTCTACGCGGCTGCCCTGGCCTCCGATCACCTCTCCCAGGGCCAGGAACGCTTGTCCCAGGAAATCCTGTGCCAGGACACGGAATCAGCAAGACCAGGAGGGCCGTGGCACGAAGTCCCAGCCCAGCCCTGGTGACGCCGCTGCGCCAGGGCAGTTCCGGAGGCAGGCGCTCCCACTGCCTGGCTCGCGCTTTAACAGAGGGGTCCGGGAGAAGGGGCCTGCAGGCAAGTCTGCTTCTCGGTCGGTCCTGAGTCCAAGCCTGCTCTCGGTAATAGGGCCCACGCCACACCCGCCCGCCCAGCCCCGTGCAGCCTCACCTTCTGTGGGTCCCAGCGGCGGCCGAGGACGAAGAGGAGCAGTGAGTAAGGGGCGCAGGCAGGAAAACCAGGCAGGAGCAGGACGGGGCCGGGAAGGTGGGTTGGGGGCCTGAAGAAGGTGGGGCCGCGATCGAGGGGCAGGAGGAGCTCTAAGGAGGGTGGTTTAACACGTCTAAGCGTCTCCTGCGCCCCCGGCCAGTCCGCGAGGGACGCGTGCTCACCGGTTTGGAGACGTTGGTTTTGGAGTCCACGTTGTACCTGGGAGGAGAGTGGCACAGGCGTGTGGTGGGGCTGAAAGGGGTCGGGCACGAGTCTCGGTTGGAAATTGGGGGCGGAGGGAGGGCGGCCTTGAACCCAGGTTCAACTTGGGTCTCGTCGGGGACAGGAGTCAGGGTCGCAGAGGGTCAGGCCTGGGGCGAGGCCAAGTTGGGGGGCTCGCTGGGGGTGGGGTCATGTAGGAGAGGGCGGGGACTAGGGTGGAGCTAAATTGGGGAGCAGCGTTGCGGGTGGGTCCGGCCCGGGGACGGGTCTGAGACTGGGCGGAGCCCTCCGGGTGGGGCGGAGCCAGCCGTGGGGGCGGAACCAGGCCGGGAGGCGAGGCGGGGGCGGGGCCAGCCGGAATTCCGGGCAGATCCAGGTCGGGGGGCGGGGCCGAGCCAGAATTCTGGGCGGGGCCTCACACATCGAAGCGCAGATTTTGCTTTTCCTCAAAGAAATAGTCGAGGACGAATTTGCGCACGAAGTCGGGGTTCAGCGTGTTGTCGATCACTTCGGTCCGTCCGAACTGGGAAAGGGGCGGGAGGGTCAGCGCGGGGCGCGGGGGACGGGCGGTTTCCGGGGGCGGCTCTGCGCTGCCAGGGGCTCTCGAACTCACCTCCCGCCACTCCTGGCTGGCGCGGCTTTGCGTGTAAAGCACCACCACTGCGGGTGGGGGCGGAGGGGGAAGGACGTCAGGCCGGCCTGCACCCCTCCTCCCCACCCCACCCGCCCCTCAGTCGCGCGAGACCCCACGTCCCCCTCCCGGTCCTGGAGCCTCCTACTGGGGTCGGACTTGGAGAAGGTATCGAGATCTAGCAGGTTCCTAGAGAAAAGCAACAGACAGACAGAGTGGATGGATCATCCTGGAACCCACCGCCGCGATGCTGCCCTAAGTCAGGCACCGGGGGCGGGGGCCGGAGGGGGTTAGGGGCTCAAATCGAACCTCTTTCCCTCATTACGACCCCAGCCGGGGTCCGCGCTGTCAGCACTCTGGACAACACCGGAAATCTCTGTCCAGGAACTGTGTTTCTGGGGACTCGATGCATACGCGCCCACACTGCCTCCAAGGCCCAGGAAAGAGGGTTCACCCCAGAACTTTGTCCTTTTGGGGCCCCGCTCCTAGTAGATCCTCGCGACCCACCTCTTGAACCTGCAGGTTGAGCCCTCTTTCGCGGGGTGGGACTGACCAAGGAGGCCCCTCCTCGACCCCACTAGCGACTCCCTTGTCTTCAGCTGTGATTTTCCAGCCCCCGATGCCTCTCCCCGCGGGGTCCGGCCCCTATCCAGGCTGAGCCCCTGGGCCGGTTGGGGTTGGGGCAGTGCCAGTGCCTAAGCCCTCCCCAGCGCGGCCCGCTCACCGGCAGGACACGGTAATTTCAATCTTGGTGGCTGGGACGCTGCGCTCGGAGGCTCCGCCGAGAGACATGGCTGGTCGGGCAAGTGGAGCCGCAGGAGGCTGGGAGACCCGGGCCGCCGGGGGTTAGGGCGGTGGCAGTGGCGGGGCCAGCCCATGTGCGGCTGCTGCTGCTGCTGCTGCTGCGGCGGCGGCGGCGGCGGCGGCGGCGGCGGCGGCGGCGGCGGCGCTCCCTCCAGCTCTGCGTGCGCTCCCGCTGCTCGAGCCCTAACAGTGGCCGCCAGTAGCAGCTGCTCCAAATGGCAGCACAGCCCCGCCCGGCCCTGCGGGCGGCCCCCGCCCCATTGGACAGCCGCGAGCTGGCGGGGAACCTCGCCCAGACCCCCAACTCCAGCCCACATCTTGGTGGAGTGTCCCCTGAGCGACTCTCCGGGTTGGAAACCCAAGCCCCTGGTGCTGTTGGTGGCACTGAAGCATTTGGGGCAACCAGTAAGCACAGGGATCCTTGTCTCTTAGTGAGCAGCTCTCAACAACCTCGTTTCTACCCTCCTCACTCCCTGCCTGCCTCGGTCTCTTAATAGGAAAAGTTACATTTGTTCTTACTGTGTGACCTTGGGCAAGTTACTCAACGTTTCTGTGGCTCAGACTCATTGACAGGCCTTAATAGCAGCTACTCAGGGCACCCTAAAATTTTATGGGGATAACTCAAGCAAAGGACTTAGCACACAGCAAGTGCTCAATAAATGTTCACTGGTATTATTTCTGTCCTCTGGGTAATCACACTGATGACCTCTTTTGTGTGAAAATCAAACCAGTAAGTGGTAGCTATTACAGCACTGTGTAAAGCCCTCTGCCCACGAACTCTCATGACTTCACGGTGTGAGAGATGTCATTATCATGACACAATCCACTCCAGATCATATGGTAGAAGAGGGTGGTGCTCAGCCAGGCCCTCCCGCACCACACACATGCACCAACTGCTATCTCTGTATGATCTCTCTATGATCTGTATGATCCCAAGCTTCAGAAACCAGTCCCTCCACCATGGGCAGGGCTGCAGGTCACCTGTACTAGGATTGTGCTGCCTGCAAATTCTGTTAAAAGATGCAGGTCTCCTCAACCCCAATCCCAGCCAAATGAAGATCCTTGCAACTCTAAGCCTAAATTCCAGGCAGTCCTGGTAATTTCATCTGTCCTGGTACAGATAAACAGGCTCCCTAGGTGACTAGGACCCATTCAGGCCTGAGGACCACTCCTAAGCCTTGTGAGTACCTGTTCTCATCTCACTGAGGGGATTACCGTAGCTCAAGAGTTGAGAGGCACAACCAAGTCTCCAGTTTGGTTCCTGTTTCACCTGCTCACCCTTCGATCCCTTTGTCCACCACAAAGAACTGAAAACTTTCCAAATCGATTAAGATAGCAACCAAATGAGGATGCAAGAGAGCGGCTGTTCAAAAAGGGAAGGCCTGATTTTATTTTGTGATCTGTGTCAAACTGCCTCATTCTCAGTGCAGATGACCCCTCATCCTCAGGAAATAGAATTAGGAAGTAGGGTCTTTTGTGAACTCATGGCCTCCACACGGTACCAGGGAAAGCCCACATAGTTCTGAGAGTTGATGGGAGAGTCCCGGCAAAGACTGGGGTGGGTGGGAGGAGGCAGTCACCAGAGAGGGTGGTGGTCATCAGTCAAGAGGCTGGGGGCTGGAAAACCTTGTCCTTGGTCTTGCTCAGCCTTGGGACTGCCATGTGCATGATGGAGAAGGGGAGTGAGACCTCCCCCGACTTCAGTCCCCTTGGCCAGGCATGGCTTTGATTCCACTAAAGGCTCAGGTGAGAGAGGAACAGGAAACCATCATGCGCTGGCTGCTTCACAAGGTGCTACTGCTGGTGCCCCGGAGCCCAACACCACGGGCAAACTGCTCCAGCAGACCCCCGATGGCACCAGAGGGACTGGGAGGTACTGCCCGGAGCCCCACTGTGCTGCTGTATGTGGCCAAGAAGGCTGAGCGAACCTCTTGGAGCCGAGTCTCTCGATTGCTCAGGGCCGCGATCCTGTGTGGAGGGAGAGAAAGAACGAAGACATTATCCTGGGATAGGACCGAGCATCCTCATCCTCACTCCACACTTCCTATCCCTGTGCTTCTGACTGCAGAAGGCCAGCATCTGTCCTGTGGTCGCACTGTCCTTGTGGTGCAGGCCCCAAATATTTGGCACTATTCCCCTCTTAAAACTATTCTTTTTTTTTTTTTTTTTTTGAGACAGAGTCTCGCTTTGTTGCCCAGGCTAGAGTGAGTGCCGTGGCATCAGCCTAGCTCACAGCAACCTCAAACTCCTGGGCTCGAGTGATCCTTCTGCCTCAGCCTCCCGGGTAGCTGGGACTACAGGCATGCGCCACCATGCCCGGCTAATTTTTTATATATATATCAGTTGGCCAATTAATTTCTTTCTATTTATAGTAGAGACAAGGTCTCGCTCTTGCTCAGGCTGGCTTTGAACTCCTGACCTTGAGCAATCCGCCCGCCTCGGCCTCCCAAGAGCTAGGATTACAGGCGTGAGCCACAGCGCCCGGCCTTTAAAACTATTCTTTTCAGGCCTCAGGCTGCTTCTACCCAGAGCATCAGATTTTATTAGGGCCCCAACCTTTCTGTTGGGAAACAGCTATCTTTGTGATGACTGTGGAGGAGGGAAGCTAAGAGGGAGAGAATTCACCCCAACAGCTGTCAGCGTCCACTCCTCTGTAAGAACAAGCTGAGGCGTAGTCTTACACCTAGCAGTTAGGAGACCCCTAAAATCGGGCAGCAGCCTTTGGCTGTTGAAAAGGCTCAGTCTTGAGGCCAGGACTTGATGCAGATTGGGAGGAAACGCTTGCCCTAGAAGAACCCACTGACTATCCCAGCAAGGCCAGGGTCCCCCGCTGGGAACCTCCAGGGCTCTAGCTGCACCTTCAGTCACTGAGAGCTCCAGGTAAATAGCTGAAAGAGTGCTGGCTTTTCCAACAGGATTTGAGCTCTGATGCTATCTCCTTTTCCTCCCCTGGCCTATATGGATACTGACCACAGCTGGAAGCCCCTCTTCTCTCCTCACCCTGGAATTACAAGTCAAGAAGGGGAACAAGTGCACAAGCTTGGGCCTATTGAAGTGTGAATTCCAAAGCTGTATGACATCCCACGGGGCCTTCAATAGACGAGGCCCAAGGTGCTGGCTATGCCCAGCCTCTGTACCAAAAGGTACCCACATGGTGTTTCCTCTGACAGCCCCTGGAGGGCCCTTCTCCAGGGGTCACAGACCTATATGACACATTCCCATCCACTAAGCACTGAGACTAGCCAAATTTTAGACTTACGCCAAATTTCCCTCCAAGTAACCAGTCCCTGGGCAGTCTCTCCCCAGAATTCGACAGAGGCAGCACAAGTGTACCCAGATCCCACACCCAGATCACTGGCACCCAAGGCTCGGGGGAGCAGACGGAGGTCTGATGATAAACAACAGTCCTGGGGCCAGTATGGGCAAGACAGACAGGGCCCCAGTGAAGCAGATTGGTGGGAGTGATGCGTGTGAGAAACCAGCAGCAGGCTCCCGGGCCAAGCCGAGCCAAACAGCTTTCTCAGCAGCACTAAGAAAACGGAGGTGATACTGGATTTCTGCAACACTACGAACAACACTGAAGTCTTTCCTGGCATTTGGGAGGCGTGTGGCCCTAGGTCTTCTTTACTTTCTAATTAGGTTTCACACAGGCCAGAGGCCATGTGTACTTCCCTCAGCTTCTCATTAAAGCACAAGCGGGAGAAACAGGCAAGTAGCTTGTGTTCACAGGGAACATCCAAAGGTGCACACACAAGGACTCTCACTCCCCCCGTAGCCTATCCAGAGACAAGAACAGAGGAGCCCAGAGAGGATACAGATCCACCTGGTGACACACAGCAGGCAATGGAGCTACTGTAGTGCCACTCTTTCTCAAGAGAAAACAGGCTCAGAAAAGTCAAGGCTGACACCCCAAGACACACCTGGTGAGCAGAACAGCCAGGATTTAGACTAAGTTTCTCTGATAATGAAGTCCAAGTGCTGAACCCACATGCTGTGTGACCCCACCCTGCAATCTTGGAGGCCTTGAGATCATATAGAATCCAGCCCTTCTCTGGGAACCACCCAGAACGGGAGGGCTGGCTACGGGCTCAGAGTGCTGCATGGGGCCTACACTGCAGGTTCTGGGCTGGGCGATCTGGGCTGGAGTTGCTTGTTTTGGTGGCCGGCCCCAGGTGAGCGAGGCGTGCCATCAAGCAGGGGCGGGAGGGTCCGTGCTTCCTCCACCGAAGGATCCCTGGCAAGTCTGGCTAAAGTAGGAAGTCCCAACAGACAGGCATAATTTCTTTTTTATCCTTCAATAATCTAAGAGATCTTGTTCCTGGCCTGGGGGTCTGGCTGCAGAAGAGGCTGTGCTGAACATGGTGGCTTCAGAAGCCTTTCGGTGACTTTCCAGCTGCAGGACCAGGACTGGTGCCATCAGCCTGTGCCATCCTGGAATTCCAAGGTCTTGCCTGCCCCTGTCTGCCCTCAGCTGGGAATCCAGGGCCCTCTTTTCTTCCCAGCTCCCCTAGGCACCTTGCCTCCAACCTGCCAGTACTGGTGGGTACGAGCTGGATTCTGGTGCTGGCGGTGGGGATGAGTCCCCAGCAACTGAAGCTCATCCAGCCCATGGTGTGGGGGTGAAGGGAAGGCTTGCTGAGAGGCTTCCCCCAGGCACACCATCTGAGGAACAGGCCCTCCTTCCCGGGGAGCTGGAGGCTCTTCCCTGCCCGACATCCATGAAGTGGCAGAGCAGGCAGGGCAGGCGCTCCCCCAGAGGCAGCTACCCGCGTCGGGCAGATGTATGACAAGAGCTAGAAGCCCAGCACTGGATCCTCGGAAGAAGAAGGTTTCTTAGGTGTGGGATTTAGTATTCCCATCCAGTTCTCATTCCTGCCCAGAGGCCAAAGCAGAAGACAAGGGAGGCGGGGACAGCAGGTAGCCCTGGGTTCTGCTCAGAAGGAGCTTCAGGCTAGCCCAGCTCCACTCTGGCTCCGGCCTCCGCCATACACCCACCTTCACTATCCCACTGTTCTGCTTTCAAAGGATTCTCATGTCAGGCAAAGGCTTGTACAGAAATAGAATCTTCTATAGTCATAATCCAGCCAGCTTTCCCTCAGGGTACACCAAAGACAGCATGGACAGGTTTTAGAGACTGGGGAGAGCGAACACATTCCGATGTGCTCCTGACCAGCCCACAGGGCCCCTTCCTGCCTTGGTGGCCCCGCAGCTGCGAGAGAGGTGGGCAGGGTCCGGGCCGGCCTGTGCCTCACTCCTCAGCAGCACTCACTGCTCACGGGCGGCCCGCACAGGAGGGGAGCGTCCTGCCTTCTCAAGCAAGACACTTACAGACAACCGTCAGGGAGCTCGTCCGGGAAGTTGAAAGGGAGAGAGGAGTCTGTGTGCAGGACAGCCCGTTCCTGAATACTGCCACAGCCTGTGACCATCTGCCAGCTGCCAAAGTCTGTGGAGAGAGAGGATCCGGGCAGGGAACGGTCCACTGATCTGGGTCAGAGAGGAGAGAGAGGGGAGAGGATGCGGTCAGTCAGTCATATGCCTGACAGGGGGGTGGCGGGCGGGGGCGTCACAGTGGCCCTGAGTCAGAGCCTTAATGTTCTGTTGTCAACCCCTGTCTCCAAAAGTAAAAAGATAAGAAAAAGAGGCTGGGCGCAGTGGCTCACGCCTGTAATCCCAGCACTCTGGGAGGCCGAGGCGGGTGGATTGCTCGAGGTCAGGAATTCGAAACCAGCCTGAGCAAGACCCCGTCTCTACTGAAAATAGAAAGAAATTAATTGAACAACTAAAAAATATATATACAAAAAATTAGCCGGGCATGGTGGCGCATGCCTGTACTCCCAGCTACTTGGAGGCTGAGGCAGGAGGATCCCTTGAGGCCAGGAGTTTGAGGTTGCTGTGAGCGAGGCTGACCCCACCACACCCCAGCCTCGGGGACAGAATGACACCCTGTCTCAAAAAAAAAAGAAAGAAAGCTGGATAAGTAGTGACTGAGGAAGAAGAGGCAGGCTCAGCAGAGAGGACAGGGCTCTGTGCACACTGGTAGGAACAAAAGAACAAGAGCAGAGCTTAGCGACGAAGGCCAGTCAGAACCAAAGCCTGGAGCCAGGGGCCAGGGGCCAGTGTCTGCCCTGGTGGCTGTAGCTGTAAGGACAAAAGCAAGGCTGCACTGCCTGCCCGCGCCCCCCCCCGCCCCCATCAGCCGCAGGCTCCCACAACATGCAGATCTGCAAGGTGGGCAATGCAGAACCCAGGGGCCACAGAGGTCCTGTCACAGAAGAGACAGGACAGGTGTAGGGCAGTGACCTAGATTGAACAGTGAGGGGATGAGAGCCCTGAGGTCCCTCTTTCCTCGGCAGGGCATGGAAGGCGCCATAGTTTGTATTCAGAAGCGTCAACCCAGCAAACTCACTAGCTGTGCCCAGAGGGAAGGGATGAATCAGGCAGGCAACCTGACAGCTTCATCAGGCCTTTCTCAGATGGAGGTTTGTGGGGTGGAGGGAGGAAAGTTGTGCTGGCAAGCCACTGCTGCCACCTCCTCTCCGAGGTCCTGGGCAGTAGCCTCGCCAGTGGAGGTAGGGGAGGAGGTAGGGAGACATCAAACAAGGCCCTTCCACCAGCTACCCCAGGTCCCAGTCACCAGACATGTAGCATCTTTGATGCTTGACCCTTTATCCTTTTTTTTTTGAGACAGAGTCTTGCTTTGTTGCCCAGGCTACAGTGAGTGGCGTGGTGTCAGCCTCGCTCACAGCAACCTCAGACTCCTGGGCTCAAGCCATCCTCCTGCCTCAGCCTCCCGAGTAGCTGGGACTACAGGCATGCGCCACCATGCCTGGCTAATTTTTTCTATATATATTAGTTGGCCAATTAATTTCTTTCTATTTATAGTAGAGACGGGGTCTCCCTCTTGCTCAGGCTGGTTTTGAACTCCTGACCTCGAGCAATCCACCCACCTTGGCCTCCCAGAGTGCTAGGATTACAGGCGTGAGCCACCACGCCTGGCCTGACCCTTTATTCTTTAGTTCAAGAACAGCGGGCGGTGCTCTGGCGGGGACCCAGAAATAGGCATGAGGAGCAGGTGGTGGGGAGCAGAGAAATGCTCACTGACCTTGGCCCACTCAGCTGGCTTGTGTTAAGGGCGCCTAGTCTGAGGTGACAGCTCCACTGGTCACTGGGCCAGTCTTATCCTTAAGCAGCTGCCACCTGAGTGTAGCTGGCCAGGCACTGCAGCTCTGCTGATCTTTGAGGATCCCCATCTGCAAGATGGGGAAATGGCAGGGCCCCAACAGGTTAAGACGCGTGCCTGAGATCCCACAGCTAGTGAGTGCAAGATTTTTAAGCCCAAGCATGACTGCAGCTTTGTCCTGATACAGAGCCACCTTGAGACCAGGGAAAACAGATGGCTTTCTATGTTAAGGCTGCCATGAATCAGAACCCCCTGCAACACAGAGACTTGCCACATTCATCATTCCTGCTAAACACCAGAAAGCATACCAGGGCAGGCACCAGGGATGAGAACAGGATGTGGTCGGACGGAAGCCCCTAGGGCCCAGCAAAGCAGGACTGCCTTGCTTCTAGATGGTTGGCGTGGCCGTCTACAAGTCAAAGTCTACAAATCTTCCTCCCAAGAGAAGCTGCCCTGTGCTTCCTCCAGCTCGGGCCAGGCCTTCAGCCAATGCAACCTGGCTCCATAAATCCCATCTATTGTTAAAACTGTAGGGTAGAAAGAAGGTCTCTCCCAGTTTTAGCAGTTTGTGGGAAAACAACAGCTGAAGATCAGAACTGCGGCAGGGCGCAGTGGCTCATGCCTGTAATCCCAGCACTCTGGGAGGCCAAGGCAGATGGATCGTTTGAGCTTGGGAGTTCGAGACCAGCCTGAGCAAGAGCGAGACCCCGTCTCTACTAAAAAATAGAAAGAAATTAGCTGGACAACTAAAAATATATATATATTAAAAACTAGCCAGGCATGGTGGCGCATGCCTGTAGTCCCAGCTACTTGGGAGGCTGAGGCAGGAGGATCACCTGAGCCCAGAAGTTTGAGGTTGCTGTGAGCTATGCTGATGCCATGGCACTCTGTCCCGGGCAACAGAGACTGTCTCAAAAAAATAAAAAAAAAAAATAAAGATAAATAAAGATCAGAACAGCGAGGGAATGGAAGGTGTCCTCGATTAGAGGCAGCTGAGTAGGATGAGTATCCCTGGGGCCAGGAGCGTGGGGAAACTTCTCTTGCCCAAAGCCGCTCCCCCAGGGCTACCAAAGAACAGCACTACTGAGGGAGGGCAGATGGGATGCAGTTACTGGTGGCTTCCCTGCAAGGGCTCCAGGTTCCCTAGGCCAGCCATTTCTTCTACTTCCTCAGTGTCTCAGCAGGTGACACCAGGCAAGAACCGCATTTGGAGCAACCAGGAAATAGCTGGTGGATGGATGAGAAAACACAGATAGCAGCAGGTGTGTCATCCCAAGGCACAGAAAGCACCTCAGTGAAGAGCCGTCTCTTGTGCACCCTGGAATTTTTCAAGGCGTGTGATGTACAATGAGTGAGCACATGGTGTACAGATGAGCCTTCCCAGTTGAAGCCTTTGTCAAGGGACAGGTCACAGTGACTGTTTGGCTCCTGGGTTTGAGAGCCAGGTGCCATGCTAAGCAGAGAGGTGCTCACAAGTACCAGCCTGGATTAGCTGGCTAGAGGGGACACCGACAGGTTAAGAGTCACCTGGAATAAGGACCTGCAGCTGCACATTGAAAGGAAGAAAAAAGCTTCCAGTCTATGGGGACAGGTAATTCAACCAGCTTTAATAAGATCCCAAACTTTCCTGCCCTGTACTCCTACCTGAGTGCAGACAGAGCGGCAAAAACAGGTCTGAGCTCCACCCCACCGTGCTCACCTACCTATAGGGCTGGAAAGAACACGTGACCAAGCAACCCCCCAAAACATGGAGAGCAGCAGGGCTGACATTTTAAAGGTCACCATCCACATCCTGGGGAAGGTCAGGGCTCCCAGGATGGTGGCTTCTCCACAGTGCTCTACTGCCTTAGCTGGATACTGCTCAGGCCCCTCTCCACAGCCCCAGAGAGTGGCAACTCCCACTGGCTGCCACCTCCTGCAGACACCCTGCTGAGGACGACTCGGAGCGAGTGTCTTCTAGCTAGTCAGCAGAGGTGGCTGAACCCAGAAAAGAATTAACAGATCTGAGTGGGGTTGCCTGGCCTGGCCTTCCACCCAGCTTCTAGGGCCCTGACATGGCCCACAGGCCCTCAGAGAAATGACTGATAAGGACAGGTCTTTAACCACAGCTACAGTTTATTGAGCATTTGTGAAAAGGATATTTTGCTCCATTATCTCATTTAAACCCAAACTTATGGGGGCCAGAAAAAATGGGATAAGATAACTGAGCTCAGAAGGGAAATGATTTTTTCAAGTCACATAGCTAGTAGTAGCAAAGCTGCGACTGATACCCAGGTTAGACCAAGGCCCTAGCGGACAGTACACGCATCTTCCTGCCTGCCAAGCGGTGGGGCCTCATGGAAGAGCACATCACCTCCAAACAGAGTAAAGGACAGAGCTGCCAATCCATGATTGGAAAAGAGGCACTCATGTGACCCCTGGGTATGAGAGAGGAAGCAGGCACCCAGGGGCTGCCGTCAGCCATGCCGCCACTGTTAGGGAAACCGGCCAGAGAACAAAGCAGGCGTGGGGAAGGAGCCACAGGGAAATGGAGCTGGAACCTTGCTCGGGCTGCACCTGAAGGCTGCTTTTCCACACTGTCCCTCAGAATCCACAGGGGACTGGTTCCAGGACCCCTTCGCAGACAACAACCCCCCAGGTGCTCAAGTCCCTTACAGAAAAGGGTGCAGCGCAGCCGATCCTAGCACTTAGGTGTGGGTTTTCTTCCACCCCTGCCCCCCTGCGATAGCAAGGCCCACCCCTTTCTTCCTCCTCTGCCTGCTTAACATGAATATGAGGATGAAGACCTTAATGATGATCCACTTCCACTTAATGAGTAGTAAATATATTCTCTTAGTATTTTCTCTAGCTTACGTTATTGTGAGATGTAGCCTTTAACACATACAACGTACACAAGGTGTTAATCGACTGTTTATGTCATCAGTAAGGCTTCTGGTCAACAGCAGGCTGTAAGTTTTGGGGGAGTCGAAACTTATATATGGATTTTTGACCGCATGGGGGTTGACACCCCTAAGCCCCATGTTGTTCAAGGGTGAACTGTGTTTGCATACAACCCACACACTTCCTTCCATATACTTTACGCCATGAATAGATACCCTAATACAAAGTAATGCCATGTAAATAGTTGATATACTGCATTTTAAAATTTGTATCACTTTTTACTGTTGTATTGTTATTTTGACTATTTTTTCGGTCTGCAGTTGGTTGAATCCACAGACAGGAAACAAACAGATACTGAGGGCTGACTGTAACTAGTTTTCCTTTATTGTGTAAACCAGTCTGAGATGTGCTTTCTGCCTCTTGCACTTATGGAAACCTAGAATCATCAAGTGACATGTCTGAGGTTAGTGTCTGAGCGCCACTGCTTAGCATCCTAGGCTTTGAGGGGGCCTAGATGTCACCTAACCCAAACCCACCCCACCTCCCATCACTAAGCCTATCTCGAATGCTTCCACGTGATGGCCCCATGGGCTCTGCTTGAGTGACCACCACCAGGAATGAGGCTTCCCCCAGCCTGGCCTTTAAACACTGCATGGGTGTGCACGTAACTCAACCAGGGACCTCTGTGTTCTTGTGGCAGTTACGTTTTCTAGGTCCCAAGCTGGCAATGCCTTTAGATTTCTCACACCAGCTCTGGAGCTGTGGCCCCATGCAAGAACATACCAAACATGGGACAGAAACCCCATGTGCTACAGAAAGTAGTCTAGCTTCTCTGCTTCATAAAGATGGCTTGGAACAGAGATCATTGCTCATAACAACCAGTTAGCAGGTGGTGGTGGTTGGGGCAAGAGCAGCCAACTCAACAGCAGAGGTTGGCTCCTGTGTTGCTGCTTAGCTACTCAACCAGGCTGCTGAGTATCCCTCAGCCAAGTTCATCTGCTCTTCATGCAGCCTGGCTTCGAGGTGGGCTCATGGTGGCACCATCCTTCCTTAGGCATGGACAACGCTGTGCTAGCAAACCCCCTACCCCTAAACGCTGTCCACCTCCAGAGCAGAGACCAAGGCCATGCAGAGCTGACCAACACAGTACATAGAGCTTGGGAAGGCAAGTGAGCTTAAAGCATTGGTCCTGCCCCTTCCTAACCCTCAGCCCTGATGAGATAGATACTCATGGTCCAGAAACAGCTCAATCACCAGCAGCTGCAATGACAGCTAGCAATGCTAAAAAGCCACCAGTATTCCCAGCAAGAGATATGGGACTGGGGTTTCATAAGAATCAGCACCCAACAGAACTTTCTTCCTAACCTGGCAACACCTTCTGCTTAACTTTGAACAAAGCTTCATGGATCCCTTTCACAGGGGAGTCCTGCCTCAAAGTGTTATGCTTGTAGAATCTGGAGCATATTAAACCCAGAGAATTCATATGATGAGAGGAATTTTGGCTGCCACAGATAGCTACTAAAGGGTTTCTTTTCCTAGAGTTTCTCCTTCTACGTTAAAGACCTGATTGGCTACGGTTACCTAAGAGGCAGGGATGGTAATGACAGGATCCCTCAGGCACTTTAAGATAAAAGAGACTAAATTAATTTTAATGTTAATGGAAATACATAATTAGAATGTTCCAAATCTGAATAATCTAGACTTTCAAAACCCTGGCAAACAGGCATCCGATTCAGAAGAACCCTGTCCCCTGGCTAGCCCGGCCTGGCTCCAGGCAGGCATCCCCAGAACAGATAGCAGAAGGACCCAACAACCCGCAGCAGTGACCTTGCACCCGCCTTTGGTCCAGCTATCTCAGCCTCTGCCTGGCCCCAGCACACAGGGCTCTGAGGCCAGGAGCACACCCCAGCTCTCCCCAGCCTCCTGAGAGAGGCCTTGCTGGCCACCCTAGACCAGCTATTAATAGTCTGAGCCACCTGATGCAGGCAGGAATTCACCAGTGAAGCTGAGAGAAACTATCACAAGATGGGAAAGTGGGGTCCTTTGGCAGGCAGAAGGGGATGACAGAAAGCCAGGGTGTGGGGAGGGTGACGGAGCGCTGCCTCAGCATAGGAGCTCCCAGCAGTCTGGACAGGGAAGACCCAGAGGACAAGAGGAATCTTCTGGTTTCCTTCCTAGTTGCCCAGCAACTCTGCATGGGCAGAAAAAGGTGCAAAGACCAAGAGCAAGAGCCGCAGCCCAGAACAGTGAGGGTCACGCAGAGCCACCGCAGCCCCGGAGACAACCAAGTGCAGACGAGGTGGCATGGCAGTGGGCACGTGCGCCAGCCCCACCCAGACAGCGGGGAAAAAGCACAGGCACGTGGCTTGTCTGCCTGGCACCATCCCTGCCTCGCTATGTCCACCAAACCTCCCTGGGGACAGAGGCTTGTGGTCTCGGCTGACAGACTCAGCTCTGGCACTCAAAGACAGTGTTCTCAGCCGAAGGGCTCCCCGCAGAGGCAAGTGCACAGGGCCCCTCCGACAGCGCAGCCTGAAGCTCCCGCACACCTGCAGCTTATCTGCCCTTCCCATCTTCCTCCACTGCCTGCTTTGCCCAGAGAAAGACCAGAGGATGATGATGGGAGGAGGTTTCCAGAAGTTGCAAAAGGGTTTTCCTTGTAACAGGCCTGTTACCAAGGAGGAAACTGAGTCCCAAAGCATGCGGACATGCGGTAGAGCTGAGCTGGAACCTGGAATAGACTCCAAAACTCATGTCCATTCTTTTAAATGCCCCCTTCTCCCTGGAACTTACTAAGGCCTTGTAAGCCACTCCCTGCCCTGCTCTCTCTAGCAGGCTAGACAGTACCAAACCTTTGGAAAACAAAGCAATTTGGAGGATTCTTTCCTTGGGGGTACAGCAGCAGGCAGTGCTTTCCCAAGCGCCAGACCACCCTCCGACACTAAGCCCCAGGGCAGTGCTCAGCGGCAGCCTCCTGGGGGGGGCACACCCTGCTGCACATGCAGCCAAGCTCCGCACACCCACCCAGCTGGGCCGCTCCTCTGCAAGGTGTGTGGAGCCACCCTGGGTCGCCCCAGCTGCACACACCTCGCCGGCCCTGTGTTCTCACTGCCCTACCGATTTGGGCATGGACTGCGGGAGCCAGAAGGGACTTGGAATCCAGATCCACCTCTGCAGTCACAATGTGAGATCCGCAGGGGCTGGGATGTGACAGGCGGAGGCAGCTGCGACACCCCTCACGGCACAGCCCCTGCACTCTCTGCATTCCCCTGGATTCCGCCAGGGCTGCGGGAAGGAGTCTCAAGCCACTACACAGACCAGCCCCGGCTCTGCTCCTAACACTGACCCGTCCTCCAAATGTGGCTTGCAAGCTCGCTGATCTCTGGTCTCTTAGGTACAGCACCCCCAGGACCCACGCCGAGGAACCCCAGCCCGACACACTCGCTCAGGTGCCAGAACACGACATCCAGCCTTGTCAACGGGAGAGCTAAACACCTCCACAGGCAAGGGTCTGGAGCTCCTCACCTGGGTTTGGGGACCTCCAGGGGACTGCTACCCATCCTAAAAAAGTTGTCAGAATGGTTTGAGGATGAGGAGCTGGAAGATTTGGCTTCCAGCAGCCCCTGGTGGGAAGGCAGGCGGTCCTCTGAAGGCTGTGGCCGGCTCCAGAGCACACTCTGTGGAGAGGACGAGTGGCTTTTCCTCCTGCAGCAGAGAGAGCAGGGCTGTCGGCCACAGGGCCACCCCGAGCGAGCCCTCTGCCCACCCTTAGTGACCCTCAGGGCTCAGCCTTTCACTCACTCCACTGTGAAAATGCCACATGGAGCGGGCACTCAGCACTCAGGCTCAGGGCCGGGGCAGCCAGGACCCAGTCTTTATGGAGGGACTGTGGCGTCCAAGCTGCACGGGCTACGGGCCTCAGAGCACACGCTAGAAAGTGACCCTTAGCTGACAGCTCGGGAACCAGCCCCCGCCACGTGCTACGCAACATCTTGAGCCATTCATGTAGGGAGGTCATCAGGTCTCTCAGATTTTATCAGCTTTTCAAGGAAGATGACCCTCACACAAGCTCCCAATTCCTAATCATCTTACATTCACCTTTTTTCTTCTTTTCCTTTTTCCACACTGGGCTCCTCCCACCCAGGCGAACAGGAGAAGGAAGCTCCTTTAACACCAGCCGCCCACCCCTTGCCCCGTCTGCACAGCACTGCTTCGTCCCACAGGGAGCCCAGCCCTTCATGCTCCTGGGCCACCACAGGCAGTGCCCTTCACCAGCCAGATGGCTGGCCTCCGAGGCCCGGGAGAGACAGCAGGAGCATGGAGCTGTGTGCTCGGGCCTTCTGGCGGGGCCCCTTTGTTCTTGGGGCTCTAGCCTGGCTCCCTGGTGCTGATGGCCCTGGGCCAGAGCTGTGAGTGACCCTGGTCCCGGTCTGGCCCCTCACCAAGCTGCCTGAGTCTGTGCTCCTGCTGGGACCAGCTCCACAGCCTCGTAGGTGAAACTCCCAGCAGCTCCCGGGGAGTTCTCCATGACCAGGGAGAAATCGCTGCCAAGGCTGGTAGTGCTGCCACGGTCCTTTCGTCCTGAGAGAAGACAGGACCGTTGGTCAGCATGTTAACTTCTCCCACTACTGGCCCCCCCACCTCTTCCACACCATAAAGCTGGAAAAAGTAGCTTCTAGAACAAACAGTTCCTATGTGATCTATACTCAGAAAGATGTGCAGAGGAAAGGAAGTCTGCTGGGGTCCAGTACTCACTCAGCATGCAGATATCTTCTAGGGTGAAGCCTGCATCCCGGGCTGGCAAGCTCTTCCTCCTGCAAACAGAACCCAGAGTAGTGAATTCCAGATCTAGCCAGGGTCACCATTGTTCCCCTCCAACCCCACCTGCACTGCAAAGCAGCTCCAACTCACTGGCACCTCACGGAGACAGGTCCTACCTAAAGAGTGTTGCAAAATGCCAGACCCGCCCCACCTGGTTCTGTCGGCCACGCAGGTGCGGATTTCTGAGGCTACCGAAGCCTGCCTTCTCCTCATCACTCTGTGCCCTGAGACTGGCTCAAGCCTGGCCCGACATGCTTGGCGCTTGGATTAGGGTGGGAAATGAACTCAGAAAAGACACTAACTCTCAGGGGTCCTGAGGCAGTTGCCAGCCAAAGCTCCCGCATTTTCCAGGCCAGAAGCAGACTCCCACTCTGTGCGGCGGGCTACAGACAAGCTGTCTGCAGCAGTCCAGGGGCAACAATCAGCGCAGGGGTATGGGGGGCCGGGGTCCTCCTGTCCTTGGTTGGCAGCAACACACCCTGCTCTCTCAGTCACTGGAGACCACTCGTCCAGCCCAAAGCCTTTCTGCTCGTGTTACTCGAGGCTGACCCCAACATAGGCTCCCCCCTATAGAAGACCTTCACCAGCAGCCTGCACTGGGGACCCCTGCCCTGGCCTCAGAGGGAAGGTGGGAGGATTGCCAGCATCTGCCACGCAGGGGCAGGGCAGGGATGAGGTGGCGAGCCTCCGTCCGCCGTGGAGCCTCCCTCCCAAAGCGCCTCTGCCCCAGCACGAGGGGCTGCAGACCTCCGCTCACCTCTGGATCTTCAGAGCAGAGAACTCCTCGGAGGTGATATGCTTCAAAAAATTGAAGCAGAAGAAGAAAATCTGAAGGAGAGACCAAAATGCAGTCAGAAGACGGCCTTCTCCGGGGAGAGGGCTGGGGAGGCGGAACCCGGGGAGATGGCGCCAGATGCCCCGGTGAGTCGCTCCGCTGGGCGTTCTTGTCTGTGAGTGGCGCAGGCGGTGGAGGCTCGGCAGGGCCGGGCAGGTGGGCTGGGGCTGGGCATGGAAGGAAGGGATGATTTCCTTCTGGGAATGCGAGAGGTTAAGGCCGTGGTTTTTCAAACCATCTTCAGATTCAACATGTGTTCTTGAGCTGTTGAAAAGGATAAAGAGAACAGCGCCTTCTCCCCAGTCCTCTTCTAAGAGCCCCAGGGCTAACACAGGACAGCCGGGAGAGAGAGGGTTTGGGGACAGGGAGATAATGGACAGCTCAGCAACACAGTGGAAGGGAGAGGGATCACATTTTTGGGGGAGATGCTGCCCAGAAACAGCAGTGCAGAACTGGGGGTGGGGCAGCCAGAGCCTGTCTCCCTCAGGAGCTGTGCAGGTCAAGCCGTAGGTCTGAGGCAGGCACAGGGGGGAGGCTCCTGACCTCCTGCCGCATCCCTACCGCCCTGAGCAAATTATCTCCCTTCCAGCCACACCCCAGTAGCCTCCACATTTACCAGGGCTTCAGTATCTGAAGTTCGTAAACCGACTCCCCAGTGATTCCCAAAGGCGTGGTCCATGACCCTCTCCTAGAGAAAAGCCCGCACGGCACCCACAGAGGCCCCGAAGAGTCCCTCAGAAAAGGAGGGGTTGCTCAGGTCAGTATGAAAATATTGTGTTACATAAGATTAAATAGGTGTTTTCACCAGATACCTTTTCGTTTCTAATATGCTAATGTGCTCTGTGAACCTCAAAGGCAAGGGAGGGGCAACAGAGCGATGTTTAACAGGCCTGTAGGCCGGGGCACAGTGGCTCATGCCTGTAATTCTATCACTCTGGGAGGCCAAGGCGGGAGGTCAGGAGTTTGAAACCAGCCTGGAGAAGAGCGAGACCCTGTCTTTTCTTAAAAAAAAAAAATAATAATAGAAAGAAATTAATTGGTCCACTAAAAACATATAGAAAAAAAATTAGCCGGGCATGGTGGCAAATGCCTGTGTAGTCCCAGCTACTCGGGAGGCTGAGGCAGGAGGATCGCTTGAGCCCAGGAGTTTGAGGTTGACTCGGAGCCCACGCTCAGCCCCACCCTTTCCCAGAGTCTCCGAAGGCAGATCCAGCCTGCTCTGGGGAGGAGGAAACCGCAGGAGGGCAGAGTGTCCTGGAGCTCCAGCTAGGTCCCCAGACAGGAGGCTACAAAGAGGATCTGCACCCCCTTTCCAGGGCAGAGCTGCCGCCTCTGACAGAGTTCACGGGGCCTCTGAGGAACAGGCTTGGGAGCTCTGCAGCCTGGCAGATGCGATAAGTGCTCAGAAGGAGAGGTTTGGAGGGGGAGAGGAGCAGCTGAGACGGAGGAACAAAAGGAGGCGGCGCGAGATAAGATGCCCAGGAAGGAAGCAGCCTCGGGAGGGTGAGAAAGATGAGAAAGGCGCTCAGGAAGATGGGGGGTGGGAGGGGTAGGAGAGAGAGCTCAGGCCGTGGGACGGCTTCCGCGATGGGTGTCTGGACTCGTTCTCTCAGTGAGGCAGCGAGCTCCGGGAGAATCAAGGTCAAATGTATCGCCCAAGGTCACCCAGGCACTAAGCGGGACAATGCCAGACCCACGTCCAGGGAAGCAAGCACAGGGCAGGGGTGTGGAGAGGGCAGTGGGGAGGAGGAGGAGGACGCTGGCTGCATGTGAAGGGCAGGGAGGACCCATGTCCAGACAGGAGGGCTCCGTGACAGCTCTATGAGCCTTTGTCAGTGAGAGATAAGTCGCAGCTACCTAGGAAGGAGTCCTGAGGCAGCCTCAGGGCAGGACTCTGCAGCCGCCCTTGCCCTGGGGTTGAGAAGTAGACATGTCAGGAGGAGGGGACAGGAGGTGCGTTGGCATCTCAGCTGCAGGGATGAGGGTGCATAGAGGGACTTGTTATAAACTGGTTCCAGGGCTGAGCACAGAAAACAAGGCCACCCGTGAGAAAGGGAGGACTGACACTCAAGGGTCACAGGCGGCCGAGGCAGGTGCAGGCGTGTGGCCCGTTTTCTCTCCCCGGCACGGGACAGAGGCCACACTCGAAGCTGTCCCTGGCGCTTTTCCCGAGTGCTGCCTGAGGAGGGTGGGACAGGCGGCTGCTTGCCGCACGTCCCAGGCAGGGGCCTGCCCCAGTGTGGACACCAGACGGACTCTCCCTCTCGCCAGCTCTGTGCTGTACGCCCGCAGGTCTGCGCACCACTCACCTCCTCCCCTTTGCTCAGCCGGTCCACCAGCATGTGCCTGGAAAGAGGAGGGAGAGGAGATCAAGGCGAGCAGTGCCAAGACAAGAGGGCCAAGGGGGCCGGGGTCACCAGGGGCAGGTCCTGTCCTCGGTACCAGTGTGCCGGGTGCGGCCTCATCAGCAGTCTCAGTCCTTCCCAAGGGGTGGGACTATTCCAACCTTCCACCTCTGTGACAGCCACCACACCACACATAGAAACAGTTACCAAGGCTCGGTCCCGCCCCAAACCCGACATCCCTCAAAGGCTCACCCAAAGAGGAACCAGTCATAGGCCACAGTCAGGTAAAGGATCTCAGCAGGCTTCAGGGACGTGTGGATGAGCCCGTCCTGGAAGAGACCACGGGAGACACGGCAAGATCAGAAAGCTGCTTCCTCCACAAGATTCTCTCCACACCCTAGCAGCCGAACCACAATCAGACCCAGTGACACCACAGGGTGACCAACAACCCCGAGAAGAGGGTTAAACACAACATCTGCTCTGAGTGTCTAGGCCCCTCACCCCAAATCTTCTCCACATTCTAGAGAAAATCCTAATGCAGCCAAGGAACAGAGTTTGGCAGGGGCCTCTGAATGCCCCCTGATCCCAGGGCCCGGCCCGTGCATACTCACAGCCCACAGGGAGAGGCGCAGGAGGGAGATGAAGAGAGGGGTCCGATCCCAGCCGGAGATGCAGTGCACCAGCAGCCCGCTGTCGTCTGCTCCAGACAGACGCCAGGATGGCACACCCAAAAGACAACAGACACAGGCTGATGAGCAAGGAAGTGCCACCACCTGGCCTGGTCCCAAGGGGCCAGACCCCCAGCCTCCCCCTTTCCTAGTGGGGCTCCCCAAGGCTTTTCTCCAACCTATCCCAGAAAGGGATGAGAGGGAAGCATGTCTCTGTCTTCTGGCTACAGTTCTCAGTGTGCTTCCTTCCGGGCAAGCAGTCCAGCTGACATTCCACTCTGCCCAGGTCATTTAGGTGGGCCGGCCACACGTCCTTACTGTGTTTCTCAGCAGGACACCACAAGTATTTTGCGGTGAGACAATTCTTTACTGCACAGGGCTACAGGAACTGCAGGACATTAAGCGTCCCAGCCAACAGTCCCCACATGCTAGTAGTGCCTGTCCCACAGCCTAAGTCCTACAGCAGCCAACACCCCACACACTTGCTTCCCCAGGCTCCTGAAGGGCAGTTCTGCCTCAGTTGGAGAGCCAATGCCTGGCTTGAGGGGCCAGCATGGGACTTTTTTTTTTTTTTCCAACCCTGGCCACAGTGACTAGTTCGAGATAGGTACTAACTAGTTTAAGAATTGACCCAAACTGGGCCAATGAACATGAGCTCAGACTTTGGAGCTCCAAGGACTGAGGTGGTGTGGTCTCTCTCCCCTGGAGCGGCTGAGATGACAGGAGATATCTCTGAAATGGGACAGAGTCTCACTCTGTTGCCCGGGCTAGAGTGCCATGGTGTCAGCCTAGCTCACAGCAACCTCAATCTCCTGGGCTCAAGGGATCCTCCAGCCTCAGCCTCCCGAGTAGCTGGGACTACAGGCATGCGCCACCATGCCCGGCTAATTTTTTCTATATATTTTTAGTTGGCCAGCTAATTTCTTTCTATTTTTTCAGTAGAGACAAGGTCTTGCTCTTGCTCAGGCTGGTCTTGAACTCCTGACCTCAAACAATTCTCCCACCTTGGCCTCTCAGAGTGCTAGGATTACAGGCATGAACCACTGTGCCTGGCCTAAGACAGTGGTTTTGAGAAACTAAGATTCTTTATGATGCTCATGAAACGCCTGGTGCTGCTCCCAGGCCCTCCTGGTTCCCGAGCCGACGTACTTCCACCTGTGTGAGCAAGCGCGGCCCCACAAGAGTCCTGGCTGCTGCCGAGGAGTGAGGAGTCAGTCCGCCCTGGATTTACTGGGCAACACAGGCCCACCCGATCACAGCAGCAGGCTGACTGGAGTCCGTGGAGCATGCCCCCTTTGCGGGCTTGTGCACCCCTAATGCGCAGCCAGGAATGATTCACTGCCAGCCTCGCACGCGGTGCTGACACGCAGAGCTGAGCCCGTGCTGGAACACCCTGCGTGGCTCAGCCAGCCGTGGGCTCTTAACTTCCGTTTCCAGGGTTTTGAGGACATGGAATAACCCTATCAATGGATATGTCCCACCCAGCCTGTGGCACTCTGGGAACTCCCCCAATCCCTCTCCCACAGAGCAAAATGTAGATGTGTGACCCCAACAAGCACACAGTCGGGTGTGACACCCGGAAGGGACGGACTCACCATCGCCATTAACTATGGAGAGCAGCAACTTCAGGTAGTTTTGTGTTTGTTGCACCAGGTCCCAGCTCTGTTGGAGAAGACAGGGAAAAACGGATTTAGGAATAGGTATCAACTCAGACTTGAAATTTAAAGTATTTAGAATTAAAATGCCAAGAGTTATTCTGGGACAAGTACACAAGGCTCCTGATCACAGGCCACAGGCCTCAAATCCCAGATAATCCGAGACGGTGATCCTCCAGCTCTGACAGTCCTCCCACGTCTCCTCCGCCTGTGGCACCCCCCGCCCCACTGTGATCTCAGCCATGTGAGGGGGAGGGAGGGAGGGGTGCAGAGGCCTGGGCAACCCGCAGCCCTTAGCAGCAGCTGCTAAGCACCTGCACATCAGCCCCTGGAGCCCCAGGCCCCTGGTGTGGCTGTCCTGGACCTGTGGCCAATATCTCTCAACAGCCAACTGGAAAGACTCTCTCTGTCACCTGCTATCATACCAGAGACCAACTGAGACATCAACCTTCTTGTCAAACACACTTCATCTGCTTTTCATTGCTATTCGCTGCATATTGCCTTTTGATGAATAATAAATAAAGCCCACTTGGCAGACAAAATCTTAACACAGGAGGCCCATGAAGTAGGAGATGGGAAATAAGCAAAGCCGTAAAGAGACTGGAATCTCTGTTCCAGCCCAAGTGAAAGGTCTAGACCAGACAATCTGGGAAATAGCCCACTCAGAACCCAGAATTCCGTGGAGAGGCCTGACCCAGTTCTGCGGAGCCCTTTTCCCAGCCAGGGGCAGCCTCCATTCTCCGAAGACACAACCGCTTATCAGCGTTCCGGGGCTGCGCAGGGAGGGCGGCTCATGCCAGCAAGAAAGCACTTCCCAGGGGAAGGGGAAGATGGCACCTGTAATCGGAATGGTTTTCCTGGGTATTTAAAACAGGTTCATCTACCTGGCCTTCCTGCAGCCCCTACAGAGTTCTGACCCACTTCCAGCGGCTCCAGAGACCGCTGACGCAGCACTGCACTAGGAAAGCCATTATCAGCAGCCGCACACGGGGTCTCTCGACTCCTCTGGCTTAACCTGTCAGATACGACGTTGCTGCTGGATTTCCTGCGAGCCGTGACCCTCACGGGTGAGGAAGGATGGGAGAGGGAGTGGGCCGTGCGCACCGTGGCCACGCAGGGAGGCTCTCTGAAAGAAAAATGCTGACGAGCAGGGAGGAGCAGGAACTACCGCTGGGGAGGCCAGTGGGGAGAGGCCCAGGGTTACAGCTGAGCTGAGGGAGGAAGCCCCGCCAGACTCAGAGTCCACATTCTCAGTCACACGCTACACCAGGGGACGTTTCCTACGACACCAGAGTAAGAGACAGAAGTCTGAGGGGACCACTGCACATGAGGGCCCTGGGAGAGGTGTTATAGCCGAGGCTTGCCTGACTCATGCTGTGTGCTCCACGTAAGAGCCTCTGCTCATGTTTCTCTGTCTGCAGTTGTTCTTTCTCCTGGTTGGCAAACTCCTACTCATCCTAAAGTCCCAGCCCAATTATCTTCTCTATGGGGTCTTCTGTGGCCTCTGGTTGCTACGTGGGTGACAGCTGTGTTGCCTCTTTTCCTAGATGGAGCCCCGTGAGGGTGGAGCCCATTTGGCATCTCTGCATTTCTAAGGTTTGGGGACTGGGAGGTCCCTGCAGAACGTTCCTCACTGCCTGTTCCTACTCAGGGGCCAGCGTGAGCAGACTCCGCTCCAGGAGGGGCATCAGAGCACTAAGAAGGGACACACCTCTAGGGAGTGTGACTGGCTATTTGGAGGGCAGCGAGACACACAGGTACTGCTACAGCCGCACCTGCTCCTCACTCAGGCAGAGACCACCACACCACACGGGAGGGAGTGGAGCTCCTGAGGGCCTGGCTCTGGGGACACAGCAGCAAAAGCAACAGCTTCAGCCTGTACAGAGTCGAGGGAGTGGGGAGACAAAGTGAGCCACCACAGGTGCACGACTAAAAAGAGATCCCTGGGATGCTGTGGGACCGTGTGACTGGAGAGCCGAGCCTGGTCCCGGGGACACTGGGGAAGGCTTCTCAGAGGTGGTGACTCAGAAGAGCACACGCAGGAGGGAAGGGAGGTGTGCTTGGGCAGGAGGAGCAGCACCGTGAGCCTGGAGAGAGCACTCTCCTGTAGGAGGGAAAGGAAGCCGGGGTGGCTAGAGGAGGATGGGTCAGCGGCAATAGGCAAGGCCAGATGGCATGGAGCTCGGTGGCCAGCTAAGGGTCCCTGGACTGCACTCTGGGGAAAATGAAAGTCAGTAGTGGGTTTTAAGGCAGGGGTGACAATGATGGCCCTGCTGTGTCGTTTGAGCGCTTGCTATCTGCCAGGACCTATTTTATAAGTGCTTTAATAGTGACTATTCTAGCTCTCCTCGGCGCGGCCCCACAGCTCGGAAGCGAGATGCAACGAGATGGCAGTACCCTGAACTAGCCGGTGCACAGGAGACGGAGGCAAGAAGGACTGGAGCTTCACCAGAGGCAGAGCTCTAGAGAACTGATGGGACCTAGTGACAGATGTGGGGAGCAAAGGACCATCCGGGTCTGAGCATCTGGGCACACGGGGGGCTACGGCCAAGTCCACTCTGGATGGCTCGAGTCTGGGGGCCGCATGAAGGGACAGGGGTGAACGGTGACGTGGGTGTGGATCAGAGGGGCCTGGCCCTGAGCTCGGGGTGTGGTTGATGGACGAGATCACCGGGGGAGATGACGGGAAGTAAAGGGGACCTGGGACACTAGTGATTAAGGGGACAGAAAGGGCAGGACCCATATCTGGCCAGGGAAGAGGACGCCAGGAGGCTCAAGGAGACAAGCTGGCTGAGAAACACTAAGGAGGTGGCACCATGGGAGGAAGCCTGCCTCCCACACTCCAGCCTGCCGCCTCCGTGCCTGGAAGTTCATTGCTGTTTACTTCCTCCAGTCAGTGAGCTCACGGCCTGCCTCACCAAGAACTGTCTGGTGTTTCAGTTCAGGGGTCACTTTCACGCCACGATCACATCTGAACCTGGCACAACTCTGAAACAGGCGTTGCCGTCTCCACCTTAGAGGGACATGCAGTCGTTTGCTCAAGACCGAAGAGCCGTGGAAGGGCCAAGCAATCTGAGCCCTACGCCCACGGCCTCTGCTAAACAGAGCGCCCTCACACCACAGCACCATCCCAAAGAGGCAACGGTCGTGGTAGGACCAGTACATGGAATCCCTGCAGTCACAACTGATTGGGTGAGTGGTTCTCACTCACCAGGCCTAGTTTGTACACGCATGAGGAGAAAAAATGGTGCCAGAAGAGACCAGAAGAAAGGTGGCTTTAGGGCAGAGCCTGCTTAAGACCTCTGCATGCAATAAATTAAGAAGGGAGCCTGCAGGTTCTTTTAGCCACTCAACCTGTCTAGGCGTAGCCTGAAACTTGAGACCGGGAACAGGCTGCCCACACACCTATTCCTTTTCCAGGCTGCTGGACCGTAACAGACAACTCCCTTTCCTGTACCTGCGTGAGGAACACCTAACATCACCCTGCTTGACTGGCCGCACATAGAGGGACAAGACAAGACAAACACAACCGCCTTTATGTCAGGACTCCTTGTACCCTTACACGGAGACATGCAAGCACCCAGTGGCTGACACAGGTGGGCCAGCCTCTCTGAGAAATGGAGACTCCAGGCTAGGTGGGAGTTGTCCAGACCTGGGGACAGAGGACAGGAGGAGGCAGGCAGGACGTCTTCTAGAATTCACTGGCTTGGTCTTTCAAGGTATAGGCTCTGTGCTGGTTTTTGTGCTGGGCTGCATAAGCCATGGGTCCTCCATCCTCCTAGATTTCAGGGAAGCTACAGCCCAGTGGAAAATTCCATGATACACGTGCCCTGGGGGTTAACGGGAATGTGGATGCAGGCATCCAACCGCCAGGGATTGGGGAGAGGCGGCAGATCAGGGAAGTCTTCCTGAAATAGATATCAGAGCTAAATCCTGAAGGGCAGTGTGTCAGCCAGACAAGAGGAAGCTGAGAGGTGGCGGCCGGGCAGAGGGAACAGGACATAGGGAAGGTTGCAGGAAAAACAAGACTACTTGTTCCGTCTCAATCAAGTGGCAAGCGAGACTGCTGGCAGCCTTCACTGTGTGGGCGCAACGGGGTGGAGAGATGGCTCCACCCAGAGAAGATGAGGGGCCCTTCCCTGGTGCACAGTAATAGAAGAACACAATGCGAGTAATTTTAACATTTCTATAAGGAAATGAGGTCAGCCAGCTCAGTACTTCCTCTGGCAGAATGCACATTTAAAAGGAAAAATGAGAAAGTCACTAGAAGCCCAGATCTGGAAAGGCAGATTCTATGAGGTCCTCTGGAAACAGAACCCCTGGTGGATGCAAATCTTTGAATGAGTCACGTTCAGAAAGCTTTGATTTTCTGGGCCAAGATCAAATCAGGAGAGTTAAACAGATAAGCAGCAGTTCCTCCTTTCCTAGGCTTTTCTGAGAAGGCGGAGGGCCGATGGCATCTCGGGGCTCTGTGCCCCTTGGTCCCCAGTCTCATATCTTGCCCTGCCTGAGTCAGGCCCTCACCTGATACTGGCTCCAGTCAATGTTCAGAGAGTGAGTCAGGAAGTCAGGGATACTCAGTGGGGCGTCGACGTAGTCCTGGGGACAGAGAGACACCTGTGAGGTGTGGGCTGGCCACCAGAAGAGGCTGTGGTGCCGGCGCAGGTTGCAGCCCTGACGCTGTGATGGTCACAGGCAAGACCTCCCTCTACGGTGCTTGCTTCCTCCCGCCCAGATGCCTGTGCCCCCAGGAGTGACAGCTTAAAAATCAAAGTGACCAGATCACTGCAGCTGAGCGTAGTTTCTCAGTCAGACATTTGAGTGTTTGCGGCTGAAACAGACAAGATCACTCTATGCTCAGCCTCCGTCAGGCCTCCCAGGGCTGGCTCCTACCGACTGCAGGAGGAACCAAATGCTGCACCCAGCTTTGCACGGATCGTAAGGGGTCGAGTGAGGGCTTCTCCCTCGTTCCTGAAAAATTCTTTTAAGAAAGAGACAGATTATGGTCAGGCACAGTGGCTCACACCTGTCATCCTAGCACTCTGGGAGGCCGAGGCGGGAGGATCACACAAGGTCAGGAGTTGGAAACCAGCCTGAGCAAGAATGAGACCCTGCCTCTACTAAAAACAGAAAGAAATTAATTGGCCAACTAAAACTATATAGAAAAAATTAGCAAGGCATGGTGGCGCATGCCTGCAGTCCCAGCTACTCGGGAGGCTGAGGAAGGAGGATCGCTTGAGCCCAGGAGTGGCTGACACCACGGCACTCTAGCCTGGGCAACAGAGTGAAATTCTGTCTCAAAAAAAAAGGGGGAGGATAGATTAAAAGGAGAGAAGAAAGCATATATGATAAAAATTTAACATGTATATATAAGGAGAAGAGGGAAACAAAGCAATGAGACTCATTCAAGGAAGAAACAGAAAGGAAAAGGGTATTATTTTCCCCCAAAAGATTGCCAGTTGTTCTCCTTGGTATCCACTTACAAAGGGACAAGACCCAGAGGTTGATGACTGTTATTACTCATACCTGCTTCCAGTTAAATATGAGCCCTTCAGCCATGTAATCCCGATCCTTATATTCCTTGAAAAATTCACAGCCTGGAAAAGAAGGGCAGAGTTATGACACCTCCCTTCCCAGTCCAAAGCTGCCTGAGACACCCCTGGTGGAGCCAGGGCTCTGAGTGCTGAAGGACTGAGGGAGCCACCGACGCACACCTTTCTCCATGCTGGTGGCTCCAGCGAGGCCAAGGCCTATACGGGTGAGGACGGGAACGGGCGGACAAGAGCCAGGGGGTGAGCCTCTGGCGCCCCTCTGGTTTCCCAGCTGCATGCTTTTTCCACACGGGACTACCTGCCCTCATGGCTCTTTGTAACTCTGTCTGTGCGCACTGGTCACTGGTCACGCCCCTCGCTGCAGGTCCCCTTTGCCCTACAGTCTCTTCGGTGCCGATCCCAGCAAACAAAGGCATGACTCCAAACGTGCGCCCCAGCAACTCTTACCCAACTGCAGAGAGTCACTCTTCCTCATCTCTAACATGGGGGCAGATGACACCAACCTCACAGGCTCAGTGAGGACCGAATGTCCTAACATCCTGGTAGGGACCATGAACAGTCCCTGGAAACCTAACAGGTGCTAAAGCGATACTGCTGTCTCCAACAAAGCAGGCAGAGAGATACTTCTCTGTACCATTTGTCAGAAAAATCATGGAACTCCAGCAGGGTAAACCCTCAGGAATAGAGAAAGGAGCAGTGGAGAGAACAGGGCTCTGGCAACAATCCCAGCTTCAAACCCCAGCTTTTCACTTAGCTCTGTGGCTGTGAACAGGGGGTTTAGCTTCTCTAAGCCTCGATATTCTTGTTTGTAAAATGGGTAAGGATGAAACCACACACAGAACATGGAGCACAGCACTAGTGCAGGTGCCGCTTGCATGGCAGCGCGTCACCGTCGCCAGCACACTGAGGCCTGCCGCGCCAGCCTGTGGCTTCAACTTAGCTGCTTTGCTCTGTGGCGGGGGGAGGGGGGCTGCCTCGGCCAGAGAGGCGGCGGTGTGCTCCGGGCTGTGGCTTGCCCTGGCTGAATCTGGGCACACCACAGCACACAGTGGGCATCCTGGTGGTTTCAAGCCACAGGGTGGGAAAAGGCACTTGGACGGCAGCTTCTTGCAATTATTCTCAGTTCCTCAAGCAAGGCCTCTACACAAACTTCAGAGGGTCCGTGACTTTGGCCATAGCCAAGTCTGGTGAAGTCCCAGAAGGCAGCACAACGGTTGCCCAAATTCTGTAGAAGGGGCCACAGGCCCAAACAATTCACGGGGAACTTTGGCAATTCTTAGGCCGAGTTCTTGTCTGAGGCAGCCCCGGGGAAGATAGGGAAGCTCCCTCTGAAGAGGTGGAGACCCACCCTATGTTTCCAGATATGGCTCTCATTCCACAAACGCCCTGCACCCTAGCCCACAGGCCTCCTGCTGTCTGAAAGTAGGAAGCAATCCTCAGCTGCAACACCTCAGCCTGTTCTCGGTGCCTCGCCCAGAGAAAGAAGAATTACAAATGTCAGGTAGAGGCCCTGAGCTCATAGGCCCCGGTTTAGAGCCCAATTATTTCTCAGAGCTCTTGTGAAGTGCTGCTTTCCCAAACCTCAGCTGCTCTAATCAACACTACAGGCTCTAGGCTGAGCTCAGACCAGCCTATGATGCAGAAGCAGCTTTTGTGCAAAACTGACAGAATTAAAACAGACCCAGTATCCAGAGCAATGCCTGATGTTGGTTACCTGACAGGCTTCTGAACCCGCTGGAGGCAAGAGGGGAGGGACCAAAAGTGGGGTGAGAAGAGAAACTCACTCAAGGAGAAAACAAATTAGATTTGTGCTGTAGAGTTTTGCCCCCATCTATTTTGGTGCCCTGAAAGAACTGCTCCCAGAATACTTCTCATTTTCGGCTGGGCGCGGTGGCTCACGCCTGTCATCCTAGTACTCTGGGAGGCTGAGGCGGGTGGATTGCTTGAGATCAGGAGTTCCAAACCAGCTCTGAGCAAGAGCGAGACCCCGTCTCTACTATAATAGAAAGAAATTATTTGGCCAACTAATATATATAGAAAAAATTAGCCAGGTATGGTGGTGCATGCCTGTAGTCCCAGCTGCTCGGGAGGCTGAGGCAGGAGGATTGCTTGAGCCCAGGAGTTGGGAGGTTGCTGTGAGCGAGGCTGATGCCACGACACACTAGCCAGAGCAACAGAGTGAGTCTCTGTCTCAAAAAAAAACAAAAACAAAACAAAAAAAAGAATACTTCTCATTTTCAAGGGCAGGCGTGAGCCCAGGTTGGTTTGACATAGCTAGAACTGAAACCACTGCCGCACCTGTCTGGACCTCAAAGTCACCAGAGGACTCAACTGAGACTCTTTAAATCCTCAAATCTCAAAGCATCTAAGTGCTTCTCATGACTTGGTTTGGATGATAGTCATTTTATTACTTGTCCTTACTTTGACGTAATACAGGTGTGTAAAAGAAACCCTCAAGAACATAAACTATCATAAAGTGAACAGAAGAGCTTCCCTCTCCTGTGCAATGGCATCGCCCCCAGCCCCCCGCTTTTTTACTTTATTGATCCCTCTCACCCTCCCCAACACACATACACCGTCAGATGCAGGACACGGAAATTTTAGGAAGCGGGGGGGAGAAAAATCCTGAGAGATCTTAACATTTTGGCATATTTCCTGCTAACCCTTTTTTGTAAGCACTTTTTCCTAACGCAATTGAGACTGCATTATATAATTCTGTACCCTGCTTATCTTAAGCTCCATGACTTTCTTCATGTCAAAAGTTTAAGCATTTTCTATTTTTCTGTGACTATGTGATAGGGCATTCCATCGACAGATGTACTTACTCAGTATAGTGATTTAACGAAAAAAATTTCCTGTTTTGCTATTATAAATAGACACCCTGATAAACATCTTTGGCCCCAAGGCTGAATTGTGGCCTAATGGCAGATTATTAGAAAAATTACTAGGTCAAAGGGTGTTAACATTTTGGGAGTCTCATAACAAGTTGCCAAACTACAGCAGAAAGGATACTGTGCTACTATTTCAGAGCAGTGATATTTATATTTCCAGCAAAACTATTTTTTCCAAAAGAAGTCCTACTTGGAACCTAAATTTAAACAAAGTGATGCCTGGTTCCTCAGGCAGCACAAACCTTTTGTTCAGCAGAGAGTATTTCCATCTGCGGAACCCCTGAAGCATGTCCTGACAGTCGGAAGCTGGGTCTGAAAACCAGCTGTAGAGCTACCCAGTGGCTCCAGCGTGGACACCTTGGGGAGGCCACTTCAGTTGCACTGTGAGCCTGGTGCTGCCCAGCCCACCGCATCATCACCATAACCTGCATCAGCCCAGAGTTACTTTTAGGGAAGAGGAGGTTCCCTGAGCCTTCTTCCTATCTACTCACCATTATGCCTGTTTTTTATGTGGAACCTGTTACGGATGGGTCTGGCACTTTACTGTGAAATGAGCACCACTATCCTCATTTTATAAAGGATAAAACTGATGCTCAGAAGGATTAAGGTGGGGCAGGGATGAGACCCGTGCCCAGTTCTGTATGGCACTGAACACTACAGTGCAAGAGAATAATGAAGAGAGAAGGTCTCTGTCAGAGTGCCAGGTCATCAGGGACTGCATCTGAAGGCAGATGCTGGTGCTGATAAAGAGGAGAGTGGTTTCACGGAGCAAGAGTATATTCCCTACTGTCTGCTCACAAAGTCTTGCCCTGACATTGGGCTCCTTGGCCTCCCTTGCAGGCACTGCTAGAAAGCTTGGGTGTCACAACCTAGACCAACACTCCTTAGTATCCAGTGCAGTGAACACAGCCCTGGCCACAGGCCACACAGTTCTGTGTGTCAAGAGACAAGTGCAGCTTCATGGACACCAAAGTGCTTTGCGACACAGTGTGGCCACTATCCAGTTACTGGGGACAGGGCAATTATGTGTTCCTTCCATCACCACAACAGTCGCACCTGGGGTGATTTCCACAAATAGCTCAACACCAGGGCTGACAACTACTCGGGCAAGAGCACCAGTGTAGTAGCTGACACAGAACTAACAATGTATTTTACACTTAGATAGTACTTTCATGCACATGGTGTGCTGACATACATGATCTAATACATGGTCTCATCCTCACTACAAAACCCTGAACCGAATCTTTCCACGTTCCAGCTGTCACCTGAGAACACCTGAGGCCTAGAGAAATGAAGTAACTCGCTCAGGCTGTAGCTAGTGAGCACTGGTGCCAGGGCGCAGTCCCTAGATCCCTTTCAGTGGAAAGTCCCTTCCAGGACTCGGCCTGCGCAGTTCGAGGGCCCGTGCTGGGGCCACAGTGTCCCATGCCAGCTGGCATAGACCCTCCTGGAAAGCTCCCGGGATGCCAACGTGCTTAAGCAGAGAGGCCTTGCTCATGGCCCTGAAGGCCCCGGTCCTAGCGAGCCGTCACCTGGCTGGGAGAGAGCTCCCTACCTGGATATGGGATGGAGAGAAGAGTGAAGTCGGCATAGCGCTGAGCTTTGTCCACCTTCTCGGAGGAGGTTACGCTACAAGACAGGGACACAAGGTGTTACTTCATCAAAGCACGTGCACACACATACCATTCCTCAAATGAGTACTGTAATAACTGAAAATGAACCTTCTGCTAAAAAACTACTCTACAGGCCGGGCGCGGTGGCTCATGCCTGTCATCCTAGCACTCTAGGAAGCCGAGGTGGGTGAATCGCTCAAGGTCAGGAGTTTGAAACCAGCCTGAGCAAGAGTGAGACCCCGTCTCTACTAAAAAAAAAAAAAAAAGAAAGAAAGAAATTAATTGGCCAACTAAAAATATATAGAAAAAATTAGCCGGGCATGGTGGTGCAGGCCTGTCGTCCCAGCTACTCGGGAGGCTGAGGCAGGAGGATCGCTTGAGCGCGGGAGTTTGAGGTTGCTGTGAGCTAGGCTCACGCCACGGCACTCACTCTAGCCTGGGCAACAAAGTGAGACTCTGTCTCAAAAAAAAACAACAACAAAAAAAAAACTATTCTCCAAAGTTACAAATGATATCCTTCAGCAGTGCCTGCTTTGAGCAATTAAGAACAATAACTTCTCTGTCCCCTACTCCAACATATTGAGCAAGAGAGGCCATTCCCCCCATAACACTGAGCCTCAACTGGAACCTGAAGTTGCAGAAACACCTTCCACCGAAGCTCCAAACTGCACGCAGTGCAGCCACTCTGCCCCGGGGAGTGGAGTGAGATGAAATCCAAATAACATAATCTGAAAGGCACCCTTTGCGTGGGACTCTCTGCTCTACTGTCTTCTCTTACAGTCATCATGGCCACTTCTAAAGAGGGTGACAAAACAGCATCTGAAAAGAAACACTAGGGACTATTGTGACAGATGAATTGGGGAGGGGTTAAGGGAACGTTCGGATACCTGCAGATAGCTAAGCTCTGACTTCTAGAATAATCAAAAGACAATATTAAAAAACAACAAACAAAATTTTGAAAAAAGTTCCTATAATTTCATCATTTTAACCCAAGTTCCATTTTTTAAAAGTTCTGTGTTACTGTATGAAGATTTAGTCCATATATGTATGTTTTTATAACAGCAGTCACTCAAACAAAATTTGATTTTTTTTTTTTTTGCTCCATTTTAAAAGAGATTTTAATCTACCAGAGATGGTATAGAACTTGGAGCCAGAAGGAAAAAAAAAGAGGTTTTCAAAGAGGAGGAGGCAGCAGAGCACTGATTAGAGACTCGCAGCTCCACTGGTCACGTTACATACAACCTTGAGCGAGTTACTTAATCTCTCTGCTTCAGATCTGTAAAGGGGACACGAGGCCCTGCCTGCAGGGCTATCTGGAGATACCACGAGAGGACAAACAAAGTGGCCGAGGCAGGAGGCCACCCCTGCGAGTCTGCACACACAGCCGCCAGCAATTTCCCAGTGGGTGCCCCGTACTCACTTCATGCCAAACTTCACCTTCTTGTTCTCCACCATCAGGTCGCAGATGTATTTGACCGACAGGTACCGAAGCAGCCTGATATCATAGCCTCTGACCTTATCGAAAAGATGTGTGTCGCCACTGCTGAAATAAAGAGCCAGAGGGGAAAGTTACACAGTGTGCTTGCTCAGAGGAGTGTGAGGGCAGGAGCTTGTGTAGGGGAGTACGGATGTCACCAGCAAAAACTGTTTCTCTGCTATAGGAGTAGGGGGAGGGCCGTGGTGGGGTGGTTAGGAAGTACACACCAGCCGACTGATTCCAGAGAGGGGGCAAGGCAGGTGACCTACTAAGAGATTACCCAATCTCTGGGACATATTTAAAAGAGGAGCAATTTGTAGCTGGAAATGGGAAAGGGCTTTCTAGCACTGCCTGACATTAAGCCAAAATACTCAAGATAATCTAAAAGGCGGAAAGCTGGTGGCTGATAGAATCTTTGAGCTTCCATTAGAGTTGATTTCCCTCTGCCCTCTCTTCATCCCCTGTTTATGACCATTTTTAGCCACATGACTTGCTCATAATACAGGAGATTGAAATTCCTGTAGAGATAAGAGCTTTGAGAACTATCTCATCAATTGATTGTGAAATACCAGCAAGGGAATTTTCTCTATCTGGCAGGCCTACAAAGGAGAAAGAAAAATTTTTTCTAATTTTTTTTTTGGAGATAGAGTTTCACTTTGTTGCCCAGGCTACAGTGCCCTGGCGTAAGCCTAGCTCACAGCAACCTCAAACTCCTGGGCTCAAGCAATCCTCTTGCCTCATCCTCCCAAGTAGCTGAGACTAAGGCATGCGCCACCATCCCCAGCTAATTTTTTCTCTCTATATATTAGTTGGCCAATTAATTTCTTCCTATTTTTAGTAGAGATGGGGTCTCGCTCTTGCTCAGGCTGGTTTGGAACTCCTGACCTTGAGCGATCCGCCAGCCTCGGCCTCCCAGAGTGTTAGGATTACAGGTGTGAGCCACCGCGCTGGGCCAATTTTTTTCTAATCCTTAGCCTGCCTTTTGATCAGCCATGCAGACACAGGCAGAAGTAAAAAGTATAAAGTCACCATTACTTTTTAAAAAAATGCCCATTGCTTTGTTGCCCTAACAGTCTCCTCACCAAGAACAGTGTAGGCTGCAGAAGATGACCTGGCTGAGGCCTAAGTCCCCTGATCTTGGGGGAAGAGGCAAACATTCTTGAGCACGAGCCAGAGCCACTGCTTTCAGAGCTAACAGGCGGAACCCGGGCATAGCGAGACGTCCTTTCATGCGCCGAGCCATGATTCGAGGAGCTGATCTTACTGGGGTGCTGGTATGCATTCCAGAGATGCCTGACACCAGTTAAAGACTTCCCACATGGTACAGACCATGCAGAGGAGCTTTTCTTTTTCTTTTTTTTTTTTTTGAGACAGAGTCTCACTTTTTGTTGCCCTGGCTAGAGTGAGTGCCGTGGCGTCAGCCTAGCTCACAGCAACCTCAAACTCCTGGGCTCAAGCGATCCTCCTGCCTCAGCCTCCCAAGTAGCTGGGACTACAGGCATGCACCACCATGCCCAGCTAATTTTTTGTATATATATTTTTAGTTGGTCAATTAATTTCTTTCTATTTTTAGTAGAGACGGGGTCTCGCTCAGGATGGTTTTGAACTCCCAACCTCGAGCAATCCGCCCGCCTCGGCTTCCCAGAGTGCTAGGATTACAGGCGTGAGCCACCGCGCCCAGCCTCAGAGGAGCTTTTCTAAAATACCCTGTAGTGCTGTTCTCTGCAAACATTTGGAAAGGGGATAGGAAGTGTGTGCACCAGCCCATTCCCTCCCTTCTCAGGGGCTCAAACCACTGTTCTATACCAAGGCCTTCTTACGACACCCATTATGCAGCTGTGGAATTTCTAGTCTCTATATGCACCTTCCAGGCTAGACTGCATGCCTCCTTCATGGGGACTGCAGTCCTTGCCCTGTGCCTCAGCACCAGGTGTGTTGTGTGAGAGCTGGCAGTTGGCAATCAGCATCCTAGCTGCACACTGAGAGCTCCATGGGGCTTTAAAACAAATGCACATGTCTGGGCCCTATCTCTGACCTGTAGTACCAGGAGCCCCAGGAATGGGACCTTCTCTCTGAAATCCGGAGTGCAGCCAGAATGGAGACACACGCTCAGACATTCAGACGGACTTAACAACCCTACTTCAGGGGCAGGGACTTGGCAGATGAGAAGAAAGGAACCAACTCACTCACATGGACCGTGACAAATATCCACCAGCAGTACGAACATGGTCACTGCTGACCAGACACCCCATGCCCAAGACAAACCCGTGACCACAGTAGCCTGGCACTGACCGAAGAGCGCAGTCCTCCTCTGTGACGTCCTCCACATCTGCCCAGGCATCATCTGCACCCCCTGCCAGAGAAACCGGGCTGTCAGCACCGAGGCTGGTGGCATGGGGCTCTCTGCACAGGGGACTCACACCCAGCCGCCTTCCCCATGGCACCAGGGTGGGCTGGGCCAACCTGGCTCCACCACCAAAGACTCCGTGTGCTCTGTGTTCCTGGCAGCCTTCTTTATCCTTAGGCTAAGTTCCTATAGTCTCCTGGTTCCTGATGAAAGGAGGGCCCTGGTCTCCCCCCGGCTCACCAGGACCCCCACCCTATACCACTGTGTGTGTCCGCAGTGGCTACTCTCTGTGGCTGGGTCCTTGTCCCTAGAGCATGCCGCTCACACTCACCTGAGAAAAAATAGTTGTAGCCAGAGCGCCCATACAGCTCTCCCCATCCAGCCAGGGTGGCCGACCTGCAAATGTGCTGGGGGAGAAACAGTATGTTCAGGGTCAGACGGCTTTCTGAAGCACGCCCAGCTGCAGGAACACCTGGGACTCTTCTGGTTCTTCCAGGCCAGCAAAGTGGGTCCAGAAGCACTCCTCAAAGCTTTACAAGCATCAAGGCTACCACGGTCAGCCTGAGGGTACCCAGAACTGAATCCACGGCCTCTACCTAGGGAGTCTCTCTCCCGTGGGAGGCGCAGCAGCGTCACTACCCGGAATTGGTGACATGCAGTGGCAGCTGCACGTGTACCATGTGCTGGGCATGGCACTGAAACATCCACACCATCTTCTCACTGAATTTTCACAAGCCCATGAGGAAGATGTGGCAGGTGGCATACATTGGTGCTGTTTCACAGACGAAAGAGAGAAAATAGGCACAGGGAGATTAAGTAACCTGTGAGGTCGTACAGTGAGGTGTGAGCTGGAATCTGATCCAACCCATCCACCTCCAAAGCCCACGTGCGCACCGCTCTCTAGAACTGCCCAGTGTGTGGGTTGGGGCAGTACCTGTGCTTAAATGTTCTTTTGCCCTTTTCCTCGTCACCGAAGGGATCATTTTAAGAGTTAGAATTCTAGAAACCAGGCAACCAGCATGAACGCCAGTATCTAATTCCAAGGCTACACGTTTAAATAAACTGCGTTTGACGAGATCCAGCAGGGTGGGGGAAATGGACGGGGACACTTTGTAGCAAGGAAGCAAAGCAGCCCAGAGTTTAACTGAAGGCTGGGAGGACACAGCCTCGTCACACTAGGGTGGGGGAGCTGTGAGATGACAAGGGGAGAAGTTCATTCTGAATGGGTCACACAAGGTGGCCGTATACAGTGAGTTCTCCTTCTCTGTCTGTAAGATAATAGGAAGAAAAGAGTTTTGTGTAACAGGCCAGGGGTGTAGGTGGGCCACTAGGTCACCCTGCCCTCCCTGAGACAGAAGCAGCCTGGAGGTGAGCCAGGCAACAGAAAAGCAACCTGGATATGGCCCGGGGCAGGGAGGGGTGTTTTTGGTGCTGGGGCAAGATCGGGCTGGTTTGTGGGAAGGTTGTCTTGGCAGCCCAGGGAGAAGGATTAGGGCCGGCATTCCTGCCCCTAAAGCAATGCCGGTAACAAGACTGCCACTGTCTCACCAGTTCCCAAACGCCTGCTGTGAGCCACACGCCTGCAGACCAGGCTCCCAGTTAATAACAGTAGCCCCTCTCCTGCCCTTCCTGCCCAACCTCCCTCCCACTGCCTGGTCACACGTCTGCCTTCTCCACTGCTTGAGCTCCTTGGGGGCAAGGACTCCAGTGTACTGAACCTGTCACCCAGAACCTGGCACCCAGCCGGCCCACTGATGCTTTTATCCAGAGAAGCATCTTCCTCTTGAGCACGGATTTACATGACAGGCACTCTGCCAGGTGCCAGGAGGACAGCAGAGGGGACAGACAGACATTTAAACACACAATGAGAATAAAGTGTATGCAAGCAGGGATTGAGTGAACGAGCACTGCCTGAGCTAGGGAAGGCCCAGAGGTATGAAATGGCATCACCTGCCTGGACGAGAAGGCACAAAGGGAGAAGAAAGCAAGATTGACAACAAAGCCCTCCTGAACATTCAGAAACACCAAAACTTCCACACACCAACCCCTCGAGACAACTCATCACCATCCCTTGCAATCAGCTGGCCCAGGCTGTTTTCTCACCGCCCAGTCTAGGATGTGTGAGCTGACAATCTGCCAAACAGCATCCCTACTAAACTGAGTCCCAAGAATCTGAAGCTGTTTAGTGTGGCATTTCCCAAATGGATTCAGCAAAGTTCCTCATGTGTGGTCTACAAAGGAGAAGCTCCACACTTGACCAGGCTACACAGGCCTCTCTGCCACAGGACTTCTCAAGCCTCAACCATGTTAACATACACATCAGTTGTGTATGTTGGAGGTCGTGGATTTTTTATGAACTGGAGGTTAGGCTGAATCTAGTATGCAGTACTTTTCATTCTTATTTGACAGGGAATGCTTTTCAAAAGCATATTCTTAAACAGCTGTTCTATGGAACACACTCTAGGAAACACTGGTTGAAGTATTTCCAATGCCACTGCTAGTGACAAACACTGTGCTTTAAACTGGAACTCCAATAACTTCCAGGAATGTGAAAACTTTCCAAAGGGGTATCAAACAGCTTTAAGATGATCATTTTCTGGGACCTAACTTCCATACATACTTTTCCCTAAAACTGATCTGCCCAAGAAAGCCTTTGGCAGAGTCTCCTTTCCTACTTCCCCTTTCCCAATTACCCTTCTCCCACCTGTACAAAAGAAAGGCACGCCGGGCACTGAGACTTGCCTCCCTCTGCCCTGTCCTCCTCTCCACCGCTGAGACATCTGCCAAGGGTGACTGCGACCCTACTTACCTGCCCTCCCCCCCGCCAGGCTCCCTGTACCGTAGTCCACTTCTCCTGTAGCAATTTTCTCCAAAATGCTACTTGCATTCTTTGTTTCCCTGCTCAAAAATCACAATGGCGAACACAAACTCCTTGATAGATGTTCGGCCACCTTCATTCAATCCCCTCCATCCTCTGCCCTGACTCGTACCCTCTGCTCCAGTGAGCCAGGCCTCCTGGCCAGCTCTTGGCCCCGCCTCAGTGCATCAATGCTGTATCACCTACTTGGAACTCTCCTCCCCTTCCTGTCAATCAGCACCCTGCTGTCGTCCAACACTCTCAAGCCATGTCCTGCTCTCTTGAGGCCTTTGGTCAGTCTGTCAATCCACACCACTGCCCTCTTTGGTTAAGTTCCTCCTATGCCACGCCATGCAACTCTAAACTTTGGTGCAGATGGGTTCAAATTCCAGCACTCTTGCTATGTAAAATAAACTTGGGGAAGTTATTTAACCACTTTGAGCCTTCATTTCATCTGCAATGAAATGGGAACATCCATTACACCAAAAGAAAGCAGAACAGGTAAAAATGAGACCATATTGGAGAGCCAAATTAATAGCCCTCATTTGCTCCGTGAGGGTAAGGATTTTTGACCTGATCCACATAGAGCTTATGTTTTTGTGCTTTGCACACTGATGTATCTCAAGGCCTAGAGTAGTGCCTGGCATATAATGCACGCTCAGTGATTACTTAGTGAATTATATGATTGAAAGAACAGTGATTTAATCTACTCCAGAAAGCTTTTGTTTTGTTTTTTGAGAAAGAGAGTCTCGTCTAGGCTAGAGTGAGTGCCGTGGCGTCAGCCTAGCTCACAGTAACCTCAAACTCCAGGGCTCGAGCAAGCCCTCTGCCTCAGCCTCCTGAGTAGCTGCGACTACAGGCATGTGCCACCATGCCCAGCTAATTTTTTCTATATATGTTAGTTGGCCAATTAATTTCATTCTATTTATAGTAGAGACGGGGTCTTGCTCTTGCTCAGGCTGGTTTTGAACTCCTGACCTTGAGCGATCCTCCTGCCTCGGCCTCCCAGAGTGCTAGATTACAGGCATGAGCCACCGCGCCTGGCCCAAAAAGCTTTGAAATAGGTATGATTATCATCCTCATTTTATTTTATTTATTTTTTTTTGACACAGAGTCTTGCTCTATTGCCCAGGCTAGAGTGCCATGGCTAGCTCACAGCAACCTCAAACTGCTGGGCTCGCACAATCCTTCTGCCTCAGCCTTCAAAGTAGCTGGGACTGTAGGCATACGCCACCACGCCCGGCTAATTTTTTTTATATATATATATTTTTATTTGTCTGGCTAATTTCTTTCTATTTTTAGTAGAGACGGGGTCTCACTCTTGCTCAAGCTGGTCTTGAACTCCTGAACTCAAGCGATCTTCCCACCTTGGCCACCCAGAGTGCTAGGATTATGTGCGTGAGTCACTGCGCCTGGCCTATTATCATCCCCATTTTATTGAAGAGGAAACTGAGGCCTTGCACAAGCAGGAAGTAACAGAGCTAGGATGTGAACCCAGGCAGTCTAGCTCGAGAACACAGATACTGTGGTACTCAGGTGTGACTATCCCTTCCCTACCTACAATCATCCTACAAATCAGAATTATTGTTTTTCTGGCCTGTTTCCCATAGCACCAGGCACCCAGTAACCACCCACCCTTTGCCTGGTAAATGCCGAGAACAAAAAGACCCTACACTTTGCATTCATTCAGTTACCCTAGAAGAGAGTCTCAGAGTGTGAGGCTATGGTATGGGCCTTACCTTGCCCTTGACCAGGATTACTGGGCAGACAAACCGTCCTCTGCACCTGGCCATCTTGCTGCGGTTGATGAGGTCTTGCAACTTGCTCACCTGCACAGTGCTCTCAAACCTAACACAGAGATTAAGGGAGGCAGGTCAGGCTGACTTCTAAGTGGGCATTTTGTGTACATGTGTTTGTGCACATGTGTTCACACACACTCCATTCTAGATCTGTATACATGTGTAAGAATACTCATTTGAAATTTAATAAATGTCTAAATTCTAGATCATTGATGTATCAAGTCTTTCAGGAAATGGAAAAAATGCTAATTATAGGTATTAAAATTTAAGTCACCCTGATTTCTGAACATTTAAGATGGAAAAAAATCAAGCTAAACCAAAGACATAGGACATAAAATTCAGAAATATATAGAACTGAATTTCGATAATGTCTGGGGTATCCAGGTCTCCCAGGGAAACACCTGTTGCCCTTGGGAAACCCTCTGGAAACAGGGCCATTTTCATGATCTTTTAGGGGGCAAGATGAGATGAAGTTTCATGGTTTATATGGCTCTAAGTTTCTGATATCCCAACATTCTAACCATCGAAACAGTCCAAACAGCCAAAGGGGCAGGGAAAGGAGGTAAGAGAGAAGCTACCATGGCACTGGGAAGCACAGCAGCAGATGCACCAGATTTGGTAAGGGAGCTCCTTGAACGAGAGTCAGGTTTCAAAATGAGCCCCAGCAAGCCACACCCATAACAAATCATGCTTCCCTAGAATAAGGGTCTGCTTTCACAGACTCGCATACCAACTCTTAGCAAAGGGCTCACATTAGCCCATCAAAATCTCTGGTAGATCCCTTTGAAAATCAACCTGAAATGGAAAAAAAAAAAAAAGAAAAAGAATTTCTGGTAGCAACAGAAACAGGTGGCAGGAAAGTTAGAGCAGGAAGCTTTCTCCACTATGCAGGGCAACCAAGCAGAAAAGAGGCAAGATGCTAATGTTCCTTCCGCAAAAGAGTTGACCTTTCAGGCCAGGCCCTAGAGGCAATTTAATCCCATTCACATCCTAACCCCTCTAGGGATCTATGTGTTATTGCACAGCTCCTCATGTACACATGCACACACATACCACTTCAGAAGTTGGCCAATTAATTTCTATTTTTAGTAGAGACGGGGTCTCGCTCTTGTTCAGGCTGGTTTTGAACTCCCGACTTTGAGCGATCCTCCCGCCTAAGCCTCTCAGAGTGCTAGGATTACAGGCATGAGCCATGTGGTACCTTTTAAAATGCACTCGGATGCTGCTGGGGTTAATAAAAACATAGTTACCCCTGGAATATGCAGGGATTGGTTCCAAGACCCCCAAGTATACCAGAATCCAAATACACACAAGTCCCACAGTTGGCCCTGTAGAACCCATGTACATGAAACATTGGCCCTCTGTATATTCGAGTTTCTCATCCTACCGATATTGTATTTTCTTTCTTTTATTTTAAAAGTCTTGGCCGGGTGCGGTGGCTCAGGCCTGTAATCCTAGCACTCTGGGAGGCCGAGGCAGGCGGATTGCTCGAGATCAGGAGTTCGAAACCAGCCTGGGCAAGAGCGAGACCCTGTCTCTACTATAAATAGAAAGAAATTAATTGGCCAACTAACATATGTAGAAAAAATAAGCCGGCATGGTGGTGCATGCCTGTAGTCCCAGCTACTTGGGAGACTGAGGTGGGAGGATTGCTTGAGCCCAGGAGTTTGAGGTTGCTGTGATACCACGGCACTCACTCTAGCCTGGGCAACAAAGTGAGACTCTGTCATAAAATAAAATAGCATAACATAACATAAAATAACATAACATAGCATAAAATAACATAACAAACATAACATAACATAAAATAAAATAAAATTAATAAAAGTCTTTAAGTGTTTTTATGGGTAGAACACACATGGGTCTGGACAGGGAGGAAGGTGAGGCTGAGATAACCAGGGGACCACATAAACAGAGAGAAAAAATAAAGGCCCTGGCCAGGCACAGTGGCTCACGCCTGTAATCCTAGCACTCTGGGAGGCTGAGGCAGGAGGATTGCTCAAGGTCAGGAGTTCGAAACCAGCCTGAGCAAGAGCGAGACCCCGTCTCTACTATATATAGAAAGAAATTAATTGGCCAACTAATTTACATAGAAAAAAAGTTAGCCAGGCATGGTGGTGCATACCTGTAGTCCCAGCTACTCAGGAGGCTAAGGCAGTAGGATTGCTTGAGCCCAGGAGTTTGAGGTTGCTGTGAGCTAGGCTGACGCCACGGCACTCACTCTATCCTGGGCAACAAAGCAAGACTCTGTCTCAAAAACAAAAACAAAAACAAAAAAAAACAAGGGCCCTGAGAGGTCACACCCAGAAGTCTCCGAAGACCAGCCACATGAAGGTAGAGGCACTATGGAAGTAGTAGGAGCTATAGTAACAAACCAAGGAAGAGAGCAAAAAATTGTAAAAGAACAGGATGAATCAAACTTATTACAGAAACAAAGTCAAATGGACACAACAATATACTGGAAACAGTATACTACAGTAGGAAAAAATCTTAAACAGCTTTTTTTTTTGAGCCAGTGTACCCAGGAAGAAAAAAGTACTACTATGAGAAATAAGAGGAGCAGGGTAAGAAAAATTGAGGCATTCACTTTAGATGCTTGTCTTCGAGGAAATACCATAGGACATTCCTCTGAAGATGCCCAGTAGGTAGCTGAACAAATGAAACTGGAGCTCAGGAATGAAACCAAGCTGTGCCACCTTGCTCACAATCTCCATTCTGGAATGCTCCTTCTTCACCAGTGCCTTCTCTCCTCCAACACTGGCCCTTTCCCCACTCGTGCTGAATCTCCTACATAACCCAATATGTGAGTTTAAGGTACTAAGGTCAAGTCTCAAACTGGCAGCCCACACACATTGTTTCACCCAGAAAACGTACTGAAATTTTTCTGAATTAGCTGTCAACATTTAAAAATTTTGAACATTCACATCAATTTCAACTTCTAGCTTCTAAATACTAGAAATATCTGAGGGAAAAAGCGAACCCGTGTTCCCACATGGAAGCAATAAGATGAAGCTGAACAGCAGCTGACACTGTTAGGGAAAGAACGTGGCTGGTCTCCGGAGATACTGAGTGTGGCCTCGCAGGGCCCTTCTTCTTCCCTGCACCCACACAGCCCAGCAGCCATCTCCAGACCAACCACTGCCCCGCCCAGTCCACAACCACGTGCACTCCAATCACACAGACAGTCAAGGACGACTGTGCACCAGGCACGGGGCAGGAGAAACAAAGTCGAAAAGACTGCATACTGGCCGGGCGTAGTGGCTCACGCCTATAATCCTAGCACTCCGGGAGGCCGAGGCAGGCGGATCGCTCGAGGTCAGGAGTTCGAAACCAGCCTGAGCAAGAGCGAGACCCCGTCTCTACTATAAATAGGAAGAAATTAATTGTCCAAGTAACATATATAGAGAAAAAATGAGCCGGGCATGGTGGTGCATGCCTGTCTGTAGTCCCAGCTACTCAGGAGGCTGAGGCAGGAGGACTGCTCGAGCCCAGGAGTTTGAGGTTGCTGTGAGCTAGGCTGACGCCACGGCACTCACTCTAGCTTGGGCAACAAAGTGAGACTCTGTCTCAAAAAAAAAATGCATCCTCTGCCCTGTCTACCCATGTCACCTTCATGTCCAGCCACACGGGCACACTCTCTATCCCACCAGCCACACGCGCTTTCCCTACTTCCAGGCCTTTGCACATGCTGTCCCCTCTGCCCCCAGAGTTGGGCCCAAGCTCCCTTCTCCTAATCATCCTTTAGTTTCAAATGACATTTCCTCAGAGAGGCCCTCCCAGATTCACCATATAGCCTGGAATGATCCCCTTTCAATGTTCCCCACAGCTCTTTCTCTTTCTCCACATCTATCTCTAAGAGCCGGGACGTCATCTTGTTCACCAATGGAGTTCCTGCATCTAGTGCAGCTAGTCAAGAACTTCCGCAAAACTCTCGCTGCATCTCCTAGGCACCTGCGTTCCCAGCATGTCCCATCCTGCCACATTCCCCCAATTCACTTCCTCCACTCCTGCTTCAACAGAAAAAGGCTATGGGACACCGTCTTCTTAAACTCAAAATGGTTTTAAGCAGGCGACTAAATCAAATTCAGGATGTTAAAAGATGCTGCTGCTGACTGCAGGGTGGAGAATAAAAGGAGAAAGAAATGGATGCAGGAAGTCCTGCCCAGGACACTACTATTCAGGTTCCAGAAGAACTGTCCTAGCACTCTGGGAGGCCGAGGTGGGTGGATCGCTCGAGGTCAGGAGTTGGAAACCAGCCTGAGCGAGAGAGAGACCCCGTCTCTACTATAAATAGAAATAAATTAATTGGCCAACTAATATATATAGAAAAAATGAGCCGGGCATGGTGGCGCATGCCTGTAGTCCCAGCTACTCGGGAGGCTGAGGTAGCAGGATCGCTTGAGCCCAGGAGTGTGAGGTTGCTGTGAGCTAGGCTGACGCCATGGTACTCACTCTAGCCTGGGCAACAGAGTGAAACTCTGTCTTAAAAAAAAAAAAAAAAAAATAGAAGAACTTGTATTCTATACGTGTAACTGCAGTTTTTCAGTTGCCATGTTTCATGATACTCTCCACGCCTTCAAACGTGTGATGGCAGACTACCTCGAAAACTCCAGACCCAGCCGTGCTCCATCCATGAGCACTCTGCCCAGTGTGCAAGACCCCAAGACCCCAAACTCCCTCTGACTCTCCGAGTTGCATCCAGTGCCACACCTGATACGGTGTGACAGGCAACCAAGCCTGTCCTACCTGAAGGACCAATCTGTGGTCATTGGTTCTCTGGAGGACCAAGAAGAGGATCAAAGCAACAGGGTAAAAAGGGGAGGATCGCTAACAAGAGGGGAGCAAAAAGGAGGAGAAACCATGAAATGCGATGCCAAGCCAGGGAACTGGAGACAAGAATAGGAAACAAGGTTTACCGAAGCAAATCTTCAAACACTCTCACTACAGCTTTCCTCGGTGCTTAAACTACTGGCTTTAAATGAGTCATGCAACAAAGAAAACACCTTATTCCTGCAGTACTGTATTTTCAATCAGCTTCTGGTTAAAAAA